AGATTCAATGCAATCCCTATCAAAATTCCAACAGTATTCTTCAATGAACTAGAACAAATAGTTCTAAAATTCATATGGAACCACACAAGACCCCGAATAGCCAAAGCAATCCTGAGAAGGAAGAATAAAGTGGGGGGGATTATGCCCCTCAACTTCAAGCTCTACTACAAAGCCACAGTAATCAAGACAATTTGGTACTGGCACAAGAACAGACCCATATATCAATGGCACAGAATAGAGAGCCCTGATACAAACCCAAACATATACAGCTAATTAATATGCAATAAAGTAGCCATGGACATACAGTGGGGAAATGACAGCCTCTTCACCAACTGGTGTTGGCAAAACTGGACAGCTACATGTAAGAGAATGAAACTGGATTATTGTCTAAGTCCATACACAAAAGTAAACTCAAAATGGATCAAAGACATGAATGTGAGTCATGAAACCATAAAACTCTTAGAAGAAAACATAGGCAAAAACATCTTGAATATAAACATAAGCAATTTTTTCCTGAACACATGTCGGGCATGGGAAACAAAAGCAAAAATGAACAAATGGGACTACGTCAAACTAAAAGGCTTCTGTACAGCAAAGGGCACCATCAGTAGAACAAAAAGGTATCCCACAGTATGGGAGAATATATTTGCAAATGACATATCCAATAAGAGGTTAACATCCAAATATATAAAGAACTCACACACCTCAACACTCAAAAAGCAATAATCAAATTAAAAAATGGATGGAGGATCTGAAAAGACACTTCTCCAAAGAAGAAATTCAGATGGCCAACAGGCACAGGAAAAGATGATCCACATTGTTAATTATCAGGGAAATGTAATTTAAAATCACAGCAGTTAGGATGACCAATATCCAAAAGACAAGGAAAAACAAATGCTAATGAGGATGTGGAGAAAGGGGAACCCTCCTACAACACTGGTGGGAATGTAAATTAGTTCAACCATTGTGGAAAGCCAATATGGAGGGTCCTCAAGAAACAAAAAGTAGAAATACCATTTGACCCAGGAATTCCACTCCTAGGAATTAACCCAAAGAAAACAAGATCCCAGATTCAAAAAGACATACGCACCCGTATGTTTACCACAGTACTATTTACAACAGCTAAGATATGAAAGCAACCAAAGTGTCCATCAGTAGATGAATGAATAAAGAAGATGTGGTACATATTGGAATGTGGTACAATGGAGATGTGGTACAATGGAATATTATTCAGCCATAAGAAGGAAACAAATTCTACCATTTGCAACAACATAGATGGGAACTAGAGGGTTTTATGCTCAGTGAAACAAGCCAGGCGGAGAAAGACAAGTACCAAATGATTTCCCTCATTTGTGGAACATAACAACAAAGCAAAAACTCAAGGAACAAAACAACAGCAGACTCACAGACTCCAAGAAGGAATAGTGGGTTACCAAAGGGGAGGGGGTGGGGAGGGTGGATGGGGAGGGAGGGAGAAGGGGATTGAGGGACATTATGATTAGCACACATAATGTGGGGTGGCACAGGGAAGGCAGTACAGCACAGAGAAGACAAGTGGTACCTCTGTAGCATCTTACTGTGCTGATGGACAGTGACTGCAGTGGGGTGTGGCTGTGGGACTTAATATGGGTGAATGTTGTAACCATAATGTTCCTCATGTGAAACATTTACAAGATTGTATTTCAATACCTCAATAAAAATATAATAAAATAAAATAAAGAAGCATAACACACCACAGATCCAAATTTAAAAACAGGCACATCATATTCAAATGATGGAAAGCAAAGATAGAGAAAATATCTCAAAAGCAGATAGCGGGAAAGTGACATTACACATTGAGAAGCAAATATAAGAAGTACAGCGCAGGTGCTGCAGAACTATGGAAGCCCAAAAACAACTGGCGTGACAATAGGACACCTCTGAAGGCCTTAACTCGGACCTTTGCACCCAGCAAAATACCTTCCAGGAATGACAGCAAGACTTCTGGTGTAGACAAGACAGAGCAAGCTCCCCGAGTTGCTCTTCAGACCCTGCGGGACGCATGGTCTTGGAGTGGAGTGTGGAACCACAGCCTCCCAACACCCCTTCGTGCTCTGAGACGTCGCAGGGCGGTCTTTTCCTTGCCCAGCCAGCCTGGAGCTGCGGAGATGCCCGTGTGACGTGATGCTAACACGGAGACGAGCATAAATCTGTGATAAGCGCTCCCCAGCTGGCCCACGATACCACCCAACCAGAAGGGCCCATGTTAGGCTGGTGGGAGCTCGGCCCGTGCCTCCTGCTGCCCAGCTGTTTGGCAGGCTGTGGTGGCCCTGACACCTGCTTTTGTGTCTTGCCAGCCTGGATAAGTCAGCATGCTAGGGCCACCTAAGGGCAGGTGACCATAGGGAGCTGCTGTTTGCTGGGGTTGGGGCACCCCCTGCCAGTATCAAGCTACTCATCTGTATGCCCACAATTCCCCAGCAAGCTGCTTTCTTTTCTTCTCTTCCCCACCAGGCCTGGAGACCCTCCACTCCCACACTGCTCTGGGGACCTGGGATGGCAAGCAGGCCCTTGGGAGGAGCCTGGGAGGCGAGGGCATGGGTGGGGCTGCTATCCTGAATGGGAGGCCCCCCCGGAGGGATAGATGTGTCCGTGCCCACCCCACCCTGCCCCGGTAGGCAGGCACACCCTGCCTGCTCCCAAGGCCTCGGGCTATGGCTGGTGGATGGAGGCACAGCCCCAGAAGCAGGTCCAGGGTCCCCTCACCAGAGGGACTCTTTGCCGAGTCGTGCTGACAGACGGTCACCTGGGAAACGTACCACTGGATCCTGCTTCACACCACTGCAAATTCCAGAGGACTGGCAGACTGAGATGTAAAATCAGAGTGAAGTGGTGCTATACAGGCAATATACCAGCATCATGTGGAGTAAGACCAAATAGCAGCCCCAAAGGCCCTAAAGTCTGACATAAAAATCCAAAATTTCTGCATTGCAAGAAGTACCATCAGCCCATGACACACAGAGTCAGGGAGTGTTTGCAACTAGAGCCTCGGGAGGACCGGAGGCACAGCTGCAGCGACGTAGGAGCCCAGAAGGGCCTCCTCCTCATTCCAGCCCATCTCCTGGTGACAGTGGGGCTGGCGGGAGGTGGGGACAGATTCTGCCTCAGCCTCCCACGCCCGCACACCCTGCTCCCCAGGCAGGCATCTGTGCCAGATGCAGCTCCCCCTCCTGCCTCCATGAGTCACCCCTGACCATCCTCCATTTACCACTCATGCACTCAACCCATTGCACAAACGTTTGCTGAGTGCATAGTGGGTGCAGGTGCTGTCCAGGGCAGGAGGTGGCTGTGGCACATGCTGGCATAGCTGAGGTAGTAGGTAGGTTCCTGGGAGATTCTAGAGCAGGGAGAACATGGCCGTCCTCCTCTCAGGGTGCAGCAGCAGGCCGGAGGGAGCAGTCAGCGCAGTGATGAAGGGCTCAGCTCCTGCAGGACCCCTCATGAGCAAGGGCAGAGGTGACAAGCCCTCCCTCAAGTAGCCCTGCTGCCTGCAGCCCTGCCCACCTGTGAGCGTAGAGCCACAGCACCAGATGGGGCCTCACAGGAGGCAGCTGCTGACTCCCCCACCATAAGACCTGTGGGGATGCACGCGGGTCTGCGCTTCACTCAGGATCCTGGACACCCTCCTATGCATTGACTTCCACACCAGGTTTTGGCTAAATGACATGGTACGACTTACCTCCATCTTGCAAAACGTCAGTACTTTCAAAGGTGTCCTCTCTCTGGAGGGTCATTTGGCAGGTTCTACCAACATTTTAAGCATGCATTTGATCCGAGACTCTTCTAGGAACTGACCCCCCCAGTTCTCTCATTTCAATGGAAGCAGCACAGGCATGTAGAGAGCCTCTGAGAAGGGCAGGGGGACATGGCGCTCTACAGCCACTTGGAGGCACTGGCCACATGCATGGACCCAGGCACCCAAAGGTGCCAACCAGGAGCCCTGACACAGCCTAGCTTGGGGACACTGCCACCATGTACCCATCTGATTGTTACCTTTACCCCTGCACAAAGGGATTTCTCTTTAGGAGCAGACATCACAGAGGAAGAGCTTCACTCATCTTCCTCTCCTCAGAGCTGAGGCCTCACCATGATCAAACTTCTTAAAAGGGTCCTAAGTCAAGGCAGGCTGCCCACATGGGTTGGGGACCCTGAGGATGAACTGGGCACAAAGCCGCCCTGGGCCTGTGTCCAGGGGCACATTCACGCCTCCTCTGTTCTGGATGTAAGCCTGCAGCCTTAAGACATCCCAGGACGGAGGACCCAGGGCTGGCCTCCCATGTACTCTAACCCAAGTGGGTCACCATGGCTGCTCCACCAGGCTGGGTCTCACTGGGTGGGGGTGGACACCTACACAACATGCACTTCCACCGCATTCAGGGCTGGACATCCAGTGACCTAAGTAATGGGAAAAGCTCAGCAACCGAAGGGTGGGAAAGGCACTGAAGACCCCCAGACAGGGAGGGTGGGAGGGGATCTGTGCAGTTCCACATTTCCAACAATGGCACGAAGGACAAAGTGCAAAGGCAGAGCTGCCTTCATCTGGGGTTCCTCGCGTCTGATTCCAACTGCGCAGAAGAAACCACAGGAGGCCAGAGGCCAGAGGGAATGGGCTCCCCCACCCAGAAACACAACACCAGGGACACAGGGTACACAGCACGCAGCACACATGTATTCAACCATTTATTGAGAACTGGTTAAAATTAAGGCACTCTGAGCACTTGGTTTCCTCGAGGTCACAAGTTCCACCTGTCCAAATGGCCTTGGACCAGGAAGGCCTTGCAGCGGCCCCAGGAGGGTCCCACTGGGTGAAGGATTAGATACACCTCCCCAAACAACCCCTGCCTCTTTCAGCTCGGCAACCTCAATTCAAGCAGCAAAGTGGCCTTCCACAGAACTACTGCACTGCTGCGAAGTTCATTCAAGTCCGTTACAAAGTGTCCTTTATACATCAACAGTGGAAGTCAAAACTTGCAGGCTGCTATAAAATGCTTAGGAATGCTGTATAATACTTTGAATTGCTATGAAATGCCCAAGTCAGAGAAATAAAACCAGAAAATCTGTCAAAGGTTAGATTCTCAGTCTGAAAATTTCAGGATAGAAATGTCAATTCACATACAGAATTTAAAGAGTAATCAGTAAGTATGTCAAGTTGTCTGGATCATACCAGTCTGCCCGAGAGCCCCACCCATGCTGGGAGCCCACAGTGCAAGCATGGAGGTGGGCACGCTGCTCCTTTTACGTGTCTGCTGACCCACTTTCCCAAACCTATGTTTTTCTAGTTTAAAGCAACAGGGACCGGTGGCAATGAAAACAAAGCACTGCTGCGACGAGACCGAGAGGGAACCCGCCCGGTACCCGCGTGGCCAGGCTGTGGGGCTTGCCCGTAGCTTAGAGACTTGGTAGTCATGGAACATGTACATTCCCTCCTCGAATTACCAAGAAACAAACCCAGACGGGCTGCCATCTCAGGAGAAGAAATACAGAAGCGGAGAGGACGGGGACAGACTGCTCTCAGTGCTCCAACAGCGCGCCGAGGCCCGGAGGCCCGGAGGCCTGAGCCAAGCAGCAGCTGTCGGAGCCGCATTTAGTTGTTTTCAAATCGAGCATATGGGTTTTCTTCCTTAAACAAACCTGAAAACAAAAGAGACTTGATTATTAGTGCACTCAGCCAATGGGAAACAAGTCAAAGACAGTAATACAATCGTGTTTTATGTGGAGCTTTATGGAGGCCGTAAGAAAAACGGGTGTTCTCAGCAGGTTCAAGTCCTATGCGTGATCATTTTTGGCAGTGTCAAACCACAGGTGCCTTTAAGATTGAAATAACATTTACTGGGAACCACAATTCTAAGAAAAACAGATCCTATGAAATAAAGCCTGAGTTAATATTAAGAAACTTAAAAGAAACATCTAAAGTCCATTTCTTACCATAGTAGTTGTCAAAAATAAAATCACCTTATTTTAAATATCCTTATAAATGTTGATTAACTTTGAGAAATACGACTACAAAAAACGAAGGTGGCCACCAATTTAACTGTCAAGTATTATGATACAACTGTAATAAAGCATGTATTTAGCCATAAAAGTCAATCTATGATGCAAAATACACAAAAACTAGGAGTTTTCTCTTTATTGCGGAAACACACACTCTCCCTGTCTCCTCACCAGAATCGTCCGGACCACTGCCCCACACCTAAAAGGACACTGCTTGTGTGGAGGGAGGGAGATGGAGAGAGCCAGCAGAGGGCGGGGCGGGCAGGGATGCCGCCGGGACTGCAGACCTGGGAGGTGGTGCGTCAGTTCGGAAACAGGATGTCAGGCCAATGCCAAACACAGGTGGTCCAGTTAAAGTCTTGCTGGCAAAAAACCCCAGCCTCTAGACCTACTTCTAGTTTAAAGGGAAAACAGAGGTAAACTGTTTTGAAATGAGGAAGTCAAACATTTTCTAAAACCAAAAAAGGGCCTGTCTACACTGGCACTGTGCTGAGCCAGCATCCTCATGTGCCTTCTCCCTACTGCTGGACACTCCCCTGTGCGACCGAGGTCCCCAAAGTCCAGGCCCTTCAACGGGCTTTCTAAAAATGGGCACAACTTCACTGATGTGGTCAGAGACCAGAATAACTATGCAATGTAGGAATACACCAGTGGTAAGTGGGCAAACCAGCCGCCCACCCCAAGCCCTGACCCAGGCCCCACCAGGCCCCTCACAACGAGGTACAGGGGCCAGTGAAGTCATAGATCTTAAATGCTACATGTGCTTGGCAATAAAAGTATTTGGGGGGGGTGTATGCACACACGCACACATGTACATGTGCACACATCTGGTTTGTCTTTTATTTACATTGATCAGATTTCCATTTTTAAATTAAATCTGCATTTAATCAGATGCCTAAAAGCTCCCTGACGCTTTTTGATTCTACAATTAGCTGTCCCAGCTAAGGGGGGCGCACACAGGCAGTGGGTGCCTGGGAGGAGGGAGGGTGCCATGCCAAGGCTACATAACAAGGGCCCGCCCGGCAGGTGCTGTGGGCAGGAGGAGTGGCCAGGAAAGGATGAGGGCTCTGACTTCACAGAACCGTGAAGTGAAGGCCATGCAGCAGAACAGGCTCTGACAGCTCTGGACAGAAGAGACCCAGCGCCAGGAGGGGTGGGCGGCAGGGAGCACCATGCTGTCACTGGTGAGGGTGAGGGCCACAGCACCTCGCCTCCAGATGGCCAAGGGGACCACTCCCACAGCCCAGCAACGCCGAGCAGCCGCTACATAGGGGAGAAAACCATGCTGTCCAAGGACTGGAAAATCAGTACAGAACGAAATACAGAAGACTTAACTCAGGCACTAAAAGAACAGTCACCTTCCAAACAAAAAAACAAACAGAAGGGGCCTCCGTTGGGTTAACTACTTAAAAAAGGAATGTGGCCTGCGACACTAGGCAGTCAGGACTGACAGCAACATCCCGGAGGCGAGGGGTGGCATGGACGCCTGCAGGGCACCCAGGAGGGCAGTGCACAGCCACTGGCCTACTGGCGTTCCTCTGCTTCATGAGCAAACAGGCGGCCAAGAAGTCCCATTGGGGGAGTTGCAGGCCTCAGCGGATGAGCTCATGACAGGACCACAGGATAAGACCAGGACAGAGGCCCCTGGGTCTCGGGGGAGGAGCCCACAGACCACGGCCAGATCCCAAGGGCACTAACAGGACCAGGACAAGTTGGCATCAATTCCTAACTAAATGGAGATTCAACTGCTTCTCACCATATTTTTTTCTGATTTCGTCATGTCTTGACTTCATTTCTGCTCTCCTAAAAGACAAACACGTTGTTCAGTACCAGCACACAATGTCACGTGGTCTGCGGAGAGGCTGAGGGCTTGTTCCTGTTCCCCAGAACCAGACAGGTGGGGACCAGCTCGGCCAGTGGCCATACTCCTGCCAGGACAGCAGGGGGCGACCAGCAGGCTCCAGGAGCGGCTCCACCACCTTGTCACTAAACCCTTCATTCCCACAAAAGCAGTCCCAATGCTGAAATTGCCATTTTTAAAGAATCTTTTTCCACATAAACAAAATGCACTAATTGGTAAAAATCTTGTGCTCAGTTGGGAACATGCAAATGCTAGTTTTTATTTGGGGCACATGGCTTCAGGGTGACCGCACAGACACTCGTCCAGCCTCAGCCCCCACCAGCTGCTGGCCTGACAAAGCACCTCCTGGGGCCACGATGCCATCCCATGTCAGGGAGGACAGGGGACCTGCCACCCGCCACCCGCCACCTGGGGCTGGCCCACAGTGACGACACACACACTCGCCCAAGTGCCCTGGACCAGGCAGGTGCTGATCAGAGGACTGGTGACAGTCCTGAGACCCCATTTAGGCAGACAGGTGACCTGGATCAGTCCTGGCGGGGCTGCTGCCAGACCAGGTTCAAACCTGCGCCTCAGGGGCTTCCCAGGAGCAGACATGGTCGGCGGTGGCCTGGGGTGACCTGATAGGTCCCCACCACAGCTTGCTGCTCTTCACACCACAGCCCAGGACTCCCGCAGGACACACGACACTTTAATTTCTCTTGGTGGACAGTCCCGAGAGCTGTAACAACCATGTCTCCCCAGGCACAGTGCCCTCCCCTCTGCTCCCCTCCCACCACAACTACCCCTCTCCTCCTGCTTGGCCCCCTCCATCCCTTGTCCTCCTGCTCGGCCCCCCTTCCCTCCCCATCCTCCTGCTCAGCTCCCCCTCCTCCCACTGTTCTCCTCCCCTCCCTCCCCCTGTCCTGCAGCTCAGCCCCTCCCCTCACCTCACCTCTCCTCCTGCCGCAGCCTCCGGTCCTCGCGCTCTCGCTCCACCTTCTCCTCGCTGGGGTCAGGCTTACGGCGGCTCCTCCTCCTCCTCCCGCACCAGCAGCAGCAGGCGGCCAAGCCCAGAAGCAGGGACCCCCCGACCACCGACATGGTGATGATCAGTGCCTGGAAGTTCACTGCAAACGACCGCACCGGAGGGCATCCCCTTTCAGCACACCTGACTTCCTCAAAGCTCACCACACACCAAAACAGACCGAGGTTACAGATGAGCTATTCTCATCTCGATGCTGGCGAGATGCCCCAAGCCAGAGAAGAGCCACCCAGAGAGGGTCCTCGGCTGTGCATTTATGTATTAGACTCTCCCGAAACACTTGAAATTCTTAATTTCCTGGAACTCATGGAAACGGAGTCGAGCCTGATGCAGCTTGATTTTTAAATCAAAGTCAAGAGCACTGTATTTATTTCCAGGGAAGTAAGCTCCCCACAACCTGCTTCTGCCAGGAGGGCCAGCCCACTGCCCTCCCTGCTGTGGGGCCAGGCACCTCCTGCCAGGCAATGAGCAAGCCTCAGTCCACGCCAGGCTGCAGCACCACCAAAGCGTGCCTGCTTTTGGGAACAGGGGCACTGCCACCTCTCGCTGCCCAGCAGGCCCCCACTGGCTGATTCCCGGTGCAGCCTCCAGGCCATGACTGCACGTGGCTGTACAATGCTGTGGGTCTCATCTGTCCTGGGGAGGGTGTCTGGTGCTCAGCCAGCCCCAGAGCTGAGGGTGGGAATTTCCTTTCACAGAATTACCCAAAATGCCCACCACTTGAGAAGGTGCTCAAAATCCAGAGTCATCAGAGAAATGCAAATGAAAGCCACAATGACAGGCTACCTCATCTGCCCATATGCTGGCAGGGACGTGGGTCAACTGGCCTCCCACATGGATTGGAGGGCACATGGCAGTGCTGGCAATGACCCAGACACCCGCCAGCAGCAGGACGGGTGAGTGACCGTGACCACCACACAGCAGTGAGCAGTCAGACAACAGAGGCAGGACTCCGACACATGGCGTTCTTTCCAGGAAGAACAGGGCCTGACGGCACCAACCCCGTGATGGGCAGCTAGTACAGCAGCTGCCCAGGGGCCCTGCTAAGGCCAGGCCGTGAATGCGGAACACGCCTACGCATTTTGCTGAGTGGGAATTAGATGTCTACTTAACATAAAACCCCGCTGAAGATACATGTGTGCATACATGTATGTGTTTACATCACAGGCTACAGCCTACACACAAGGAGGGAAGCCTACATGTGCGCACTTTTTACAAGTTATGCTTCCACTTGAAAACCTCTCGGCAGTTTGTGCTCAAAATGCCACAGGTTCCCTGGTCCAGGAGGGATCTCTGTGGACAGTGGGTAAAGAAGGTCCCACAGAGAAGCTGGTGTCAAGACAGAAGCAGACCAGTACGCAGTGAGGCCAGCAAAGCCTTCCTGGTGTGAGGGCGGCAGGGAGAATGGCCAGCTGCTGGGATGTAATGGGTGCAGGAACACACAGCGTGCACACAGACGCCCGGCATCCCAGGACCACACACCTACTCACACATACACAAACCTCTGAATTCTCTGAGGCCTTGAAACCCAAAATGAGTTGTTTCAGATGGAGGTTCTAGACTCTAAGATGGAAATTAGAAAAAAGGTAGAAAAATAAGGAATAGGCTGCAGACAGATCCAGATACAAACACAGAAAACGAATCATCCAAGTGCAGCTTCATGGAGCTAAGAGGGCAGCCTCTGTGTGACTCCCAACCTTGAAGAGGAAGGACTAATAAGCCCAATGACATATAGATGAGCTCCGTATAGCAAAACACACCATAAACTAACTTAAAACGCAAGCTAAAAACCAATGTGGATTTCACAAAGGGTTTCTGTCCTAGCGAAAGAATGCCTGTACAGGTAACCCTGTGCAGACAGGGAGGGGCACACGGGGAGATGCAAGAACACACCCACGCCGAGCGGGACTCTAGCTCGGGGAGGCCAGAGCCCCACAGGAACCCGTAGTGGGTGTCAAGGCAGCATGTGACACCACTGAGATATGATGAGCCTAGACACCCAAACAGCAGCCTTCAACCCGCCCTTACCCCTCCACCGTCCTAGGATGGGGAGGCCCATGCGGAGCTGAGGACATTGGCCTGACATGGGGCTCCGGATCACAGGGCGCCACTGCCTCCCAAGAAATGTGTACTCTCACCAGCCTCCTGACTTCCTGCTGGGAGCCTCCCACTGCTGGAGTGCTTTCTGGCAGCTTATATTAATCGAACACAACCAGACTTGTCAAAGCAGCATTGACCTTGCAAGAAGCCAGCAAAAAAGACAACTTACCCCAGCAGACGCCCCAGCGCGCAGAACTCAGCTTGCAGAGAGAAGCAGGCGGTAGGATTTTTGTCACTGGGTAGTCCAAGCACATCTTGTCAGTGTTGCACCACAAACACTGAAAGATGTGAAAATCAGGTAGGTTAGAAATGGAATGCCAACAGCACAGAACCCCTGTCCTGCACCTGGCCCCCCAACCACCTCTGTGCGCTGTGCTGTCCACTCCTACCCCAACAAAGGCTCAGTGCTGCCTCGTGCACCAAGGCCTGGGCTCCCCCAAGCTCCTCCGTTAGGTGCCCTGACAGCCACACAGGCTCCGGCTGGTCCTCAAAGCTGCCAGGCAGCCCTTCCCAGGGCCTCCGTGCAGCCTGCTGCTTCTGCCTGGAACACTGCTCCCAACACATGTGGCTCTCTTATGTCTTCCTCAAGGTCTACCCTGAGCAAGCTGCTGAACAGTGCCCGCACCCCCGTTTCCCCACTGCAGCACCCCTAGCACACTCGGACAGCATACCTACCTGGGCTGTAGGCAGGACAGCAGGTATCTGTGCACTTCACTGATGGACCCCTAGCTGGGGGACAAGGCTAGCCCACAGGGGCTCCTAAGGATTTGTGGGTGGACCTTGTGACCACGGCAATCATGGTGTGACCATCCTGCGTCTGATCTCTTCAGCTGCACGTGCAGTGGGCTATCTTAAAAACACTGCAGCTAAGGCTTCAATGCACATGCCCCAAACCTCAGAGCTGGAGGGAGCCTCGCAGGTGCTCCTGCCCAAGCCCCTGTAAGCGCGAGGGGTGCAGGGCTGACAGCACCCTTACACCAGTGCACGGGAGTGCAGGGCTTGGCAGGGCTGTGGTGCTCAGGGGGCACCTAAGATGCCTGCCAGGTCGGGCTCTGCCTGCTGTTTTAAATCTCAGGTAACACTGCTCCGGAGCAGTCTCAAGCACCCTCGTTAGCCCAACCACAAGAGGGAGCCCCAGGCAAAGGGCCACAGAAGGCTGTCTTCTCTCCCAGCTGTCCCCATCCAGGCTTCGCGGTTGCCAGCGATGGCCATGCTCCTGCACTGAGATGGGGCTGCTTCACTGGGAACTGCTGAGGAAGCCATGGCTGCCTGCAGGGCAGGACCTCTGGGCATGTGCTTCTGTTCCCACAAGTCCTCTGAAATCTTCCTAGCATCCTGCTCCACTTCTCCTAGATGGCCAGCCGCACACACACCTACGTGTTAGACCCCATGGCCCATCTGGAGGCGACCCCAGGAGCCCCAAGCCCAATCTCCAGGGCAGCTACTGCAGGGAAGCACTGCCCCCTTCCCTACTGTTCTATGAGGACAGCTGTTCGCTGCTTCACCCCAAATATGTGTGGTCTTGTATGGAGCCAGATATGTCTGGCCTTGAGAAATCTGAAAACACAGCATGTTGTACCCATGGGAAAGGAGCAAGATAAAGGCCCTGAAGGCCAGGCACCTGGCCATGAAGGCCACAGACATGCACATCTTTAATATTTACGCAACCATGCATTAGCACTGTAGCAGTATAAACAGTACAGCTTTATGCAGAATAAAGTGGCCTCTTTTAAGTACCCTCCATGATGATTCCCACTGCCTTCTTTGCTCTTCACGTTGCCCCAAAACCTCAAAGGCATCCCCTGGACCACGACACCACCCTCTTGCTCAAGGCCACACTGAAACTTAGAACAATCAAGATGACATCTGAACATGCATTTAACTCGAGTGAGCTATGGGTAGTCTGAGCCCGGGATGAGATGCCCTGTGAGCCTCTTGCTGATCTGATGGTGAGCACCCCCTCCAACTCTGGCCTGTCTCCATTCCCACATGAAGAGCCGAGGAGAACAAGGACACGCAGTCGGAAGCTTTGGTTCGAGGTTTATGGCAGACATTTTCCCCAAAGCCAAGCCTGATGGGAGAGCTAACTCATCAGGCTTGTCTGAGCAAAGCAGCAGCTAACAGGCCTCTGGGGACCCCCACCCTGCATTCTGGGGACCTGCCTGCAAAATGGTCACAGCCCTGTCCCAATGGGCCTTTATGGTCTAATGACACCAATAAGACAGCCTCAATCCCAGTAAAGTCATAGATTAAAGGCTAAATGTGACCCCAGCCCCGTGTGCTGCCTCCTCTGCTCCCCTGGCCCCACCCTGGAGTTGTACTACTATTACTGCTGCGTGTAATACTGTTATTGTTATATACATATGCAGGAAAAAAGTACACCACTGCATTTGTTGACAGATGAGTGAGAACCACATACTCACAGAGACATTTCTCAGGCACTCTTCACAGGTTCTGTTGGTGTTCTGAGAACAGGCTGTGGGAGAAGCACAAACAGGTCATGGACCCCGCAGCAGCCATGCAGCCACGAGGGCAGGGGGCACCCGGGAGTGACCCTCCGTCTGACTCTGGAACCATGGGGTGAACACCGTCTTGGCACCAAGCCTCTGAGGAACACACAGTGGGTACCAGCCCTGCTGCATGCACAGAGGACACGGAAGCGGCACATGCGGCTCCTGCCCACGTGGGGTCTCCCGGGAACGGTGACTGCCCACGGAGGGGCTTTCCGTCTCCCCGCAGCAGAGGCGGACCACGCGCCACCAGGGCTACACAGCACTCGCCTTGGAGCCCAGTGGTGTGAAGCCAGGTTTCTGCTGATGCTCATCTGAACTACTTTATTCAGCATGGCTGAACGGAGCCCCAGGAGGGTGAGGGAGACTGACAAGCCCTGCAGTCGGATTCCTGGCAGCACTGCTGAGGGCCAGGTCGCCGGTGGTACTCTGGAGGGAACAGTGCCAGGACTGGGCCAAGCGCCCTGGGGGCAGGCCAGCCACGTGCAAAGGCAGGGCAAAGGTCTCTGTGGACAGACAGGGTAAACTCCTGACCTAAAAACCCACTTCCTGGCTCTGTTCACACAAGGGCTGAGAAAGGGCAACACCGGCAGCAGAGCACCCAGGCCTTGGTCGAGCCACTGCTCCCCACCTAAAGGAGCCAGGCCTCCCTGGAAAACGGCTGGTCCCAGAACTGAGGCTGAGAGGGGACCAGGGCACCTCAGAGAGCCTGCTGTGCCAGCAAGTGGCACAGACTTACAGATAAATGGCACAAGGACCCAGGAGCTATCTCACCGGGGGTCCTCCTTGCCCTGATGCGACAATTCAAAATCCAAGTGGGCGACAGCAAGGGACTCTAGCCACTGAATGGGCCACAGTCTCAAGCTGACACGGGGTCAGTAGAGAGGGCCCAGCGGCAAAGGGAGCAATGAGGAGCCACCCATCGAGGCTGCCAAAGCCGCTGCGCGCATCTGGGGGCGACAGGATGCTGCCAGTCGCAAAGCAAGTGTGCTGTCGCTCAGCAAGAGAAAACAGCCCCTTAAAGGGATCAGAATATCGCCACGGTACCTGTGACACAACGGGACAAAGTGACAGCACACGCCTGCTCAGGAGCAGGGAGGGGGAAAGGGTTACGGGAGAGAATCCTGCCCACCAGTCGCTTCCTGAGGACACACCACAGAGCTGCCCCAGGTGAACCGGACTGAGGTCCCACGGCTTGACATGCCATACCCAAGGGGTACAGAGACACTGGGAAACCGTATGCCTGAGCACACGGCCGGCCAAGCAGTCTCCCCATATCACACCCGCGGCCACTGCCCAGAGCCTGGCCATTCCAGTGTTGTATGTGGGAGCGTCCTCAGCCTCTGGAGCAGAGCCAGAAAACTCCAGGGTGGAGGGCCGCATTTCAGCCACCCCAGGGTGGCCAGGCAGCAAGCAGGTGTGCAGACGTGAGCAAAGGGGCTGTGGCAAGCGCTGTGAGAGCAGAAAGTGATTCAGGCTCACTGCACTGTTTACTCCTTCACCCCTCCTGCAGCTTTGACATTTCCAGACAAGCCAGGCAGGGGAAGCACAGGGAACCTGCACAACGGCCAACCACACCCACTCTCGTGTCCTCTGAAAAATTCTATAGGAAAGGTTGTACTTCCTTCTCGTCAGCCTTAACAAAACAGCCACAGGAAGCAGGCGGTGATCTACAGGGTCCTTTCCAAGGGGATTTTCATTTTCAAGGTCCTTCTCGTAACTGGTCTCACATGAACTAAAAGAACTAAGTTCCAGAACACACACCATAAACCTTGGCCCTGCAGGCCTCGATTCCAGTCCCGCATGAGTCAGCAGTGACCAGCCTTCCTCCGGCAGCACAACTGCCAAGAACAGGGCAGGTTTTCAACACGGGCAGAAGCTCAAGAAGAAACAGACCTCATGCGGCAAGCTCGGGGCCTAGAAAGGGCACTCCAGGCTCCGCGCGCACGGGCGGCGGTCATGAAGGGAAACACTCTGACCATTTGCTACTACTGCCAACACACTGTTGCACTGCCCCAAGAGCCACTTGCTGTGTGGTTTAGCTGGTCACGGGCACAGATAAACTGTGTGCTGAAAGCCAGAGGTAAGGAAAAATATGCCCTTCTGTTTCTGAAGTCTAACGCTGTGAACATGAATGTCCTGACTTCTGAAGTCCTGTGATCAGAAACTTTCAGGTTGGGTTCTACTTACCAGTGATTGGAGAATTTTCTCATTCAACTGGAATTAAATGCAAAAAAAAAAAAAATAGCTTCTCCTGTTAGGATGCACAAACTCGTGACCCACTTCCAAGTTCTTTCTTAAAGTTTCAGGCGAGTCCATTAAGTACAAAAGGCTGGAGCAGGGCAGCTGGCTGTGGCCCCAGCAGATCAAGCTCCTGAATCATGCACTGTGCCCACATTGCAACAACAGAGGCACAGCAAACACCTGTTGTCACTTTCACGTGGAAAACTCATTTAGACAAAAAAGTCCTGGCCATCTTCCTACCTCAGAAGAAAAGAGGTGAAGAGTGCAGAACAGACCCTCCTTGACTCACAGTTGGGTTACAGCCCAACAAACCCATCAGGGGATGAAATGTGCTAAGCTGAGAAGGCATTTGCTACCGACTGCACATCAGTGAGCCTAGCCACCCAAACACGTTCACAACACCCAAGTGAGCCTACAGCTGGGCAAAATAATCTGACACAAAGCCTGCTTTGTACTGAAGTGCTGACTATCTCCTCTGATTGACTGAATCCTGGACTAAAAGTTAAAAACAGAGTGGCTATATCGGGACGGAATGCTTTTAAACATATCAATTGTTTACCAAGCGACTGTGGAGAGCAATGACTTGCTGCCACTGGCCAGGACCACAAAAGGGTTATACTGTATGCATATCACGAGCCTGGGAAAAGAGCCAAATTCAAAATCTGATGCATGGTTTCTACTGAGTATGTATCACTGTTGTACTGCCACAAATTAGTTGAGAAGTCCAAAATGGAACCATCTTAAGCTGGGGACCATCTGTATATTAAAAAAACAGGTGAAATAGGTGAAGGGGATAAAGAGGCACAAAATTTCAATTATAATGTAAATCAGTCATGGGAGTAACAATACAGCATAAAGGATATAGTTAATAATTCTGTAAGATTTCTCTGCGTTAACAGATAGTAACTGCACTAGTTAGGGTGAGCAGAAGAAAATTTAAAAAATTTTAAAAACACACATGTCATGTGTATACATACCACAAACAGCATGACTAATATCCTCACGAGGAGTACACATGTGGTGGCATTCAAACAGCATGACACGGAGCACAACTCACACTGAATACACACAATAGTGTGGGAGGCCTCAGCCCTGAAGCAGCGCCCCTCCCCAGGTAAAGGCCAGCACAGACCCTGGGCACCTGTGCAGTGAATGCCAGCACAGCATGACACAGCTCCTCCCACCTGACAGTGCTGCTGATGAGGGAGACCACAGTCCCCCGGCCCCCCACCCAGGACTTGGGCACACCCTGGAGGCCAGCAGCTACCACGAACAGCAGCAACTGGGAGCAGCTTCCTTCCACAGGATAGAGGGGAAGCTGCTTTACCCTGGAATACTACTACCGTTATGGTGTAATTCCCAAACCCTGAAAGTCACCCCCTGCTCCTCTCACAAGGGGTCTCTGCTTCAGAATCCAGGGTAGCAGGAAAAGCAAAGCAGCCAAACACACCTTAGCGCATTTCCAACAGGCCCACTAGTTACCTTACGCAAAGCACACACACCCGGTAGCCATTGGCAGAAATCCCTGTGCAGAAATCACTGCACGTTTGTGCTTAGGACTCAGTTTAGACCAAAAGGTCCCTGAGCAGTGCAACTGGACCGCTTCGTGAACAACGGGAAGGCCGCACAGCGACGGTCACAAACACACTACGAAGTACACGCAGTAGATAAAGACACTTTGGCGGTCCTGCCCTGGAAGGAACATTCAGCAAGGTCACAAAGAGGGAAGGTGCTAAAGAGAACCTGACCAAGCCTGGCTAACAGAGAAAAACACCAGCCCTCAACCCGGGGCGGTCAAACCTATGCGTAAACGCCATCAAATAGGTTAAGAGGCTCACCCGTGGCTCCATCAGTCACAACGAGTAACCCCTCAGGTGTTCCACACACGCCAGCCAGCGGGACATTTCTGAAACTGGTCCAACCGCTTACACCCTTCCCCGATTTCCACGAGGCCCACAGGTGGAGGCCCAGCCAAGCCCCACAGGAAGCCACCCTCTGGCAATATTCGTTTCTGGGAACTTCTGGAATCCACGTTTGGCCCTCAAGTCACGTACTTTCCTCTTCTAGTCCGCCCCTCTCTCACTCACCCGCTCACCCAGCCAGCTGTTTGTTTCTTGGTCGCCCAGAAACTCAGCTCCTCAAAGACAGTACCTCTGTCTGAACGTTGGTCACCACCGAGACCCTTGCACCTCACAGGTTAATAAGAAAGGTGGGATGAACCAATGAAGCAGCCCGCCCGGGGCCTGGGCCGGGCAGAAGCGGAATCCGAGGACTTACAGGCGGCAGTTGCCGCCTCCTGGGCTTACGGCCTGGCATATTCCCAAGCACCCCTCGCCTGCGGAGGAGCCCAGAGACCAGCCCTGGCTCCCCCAGCCGTCCAGCGGCCGCCGGGACACCACCAACCGTCGGACACAAGCAGGGCCGTCAGCTCTCCCTCCCGCCCCCGAGTCTATACCTGAGAGCCCCGCCGGGAAGGCCGAGGTGCGGCGGCGACGCGAGAGGACAGCGTGCCCCAGAGGCCGTCCCCGCCAGCCCCGTCCCCGCCGGCCCCTTCCCCGCGCCCCTCCGCCGTCCCCGCCCTCACCCGCCCTGGGCGGCTCCTGCGCCGCGGCCGCCGGGAGGAGGAGTAGGAGCAGCGCGGCGCCGCCGAGGGCCAGGCCCGCGCACAATGTCCGCCTGCGAGCTCCGCGGGACGCCATGGGCGCGACTCCGCCGCTCGCTCAGCCGTGGACACACGCGCCTCGACTCCAACGCTGTCCAAATCGGACACAGCGTAAACAGTATCTGTCCGGAAGCGCCGCGCCGGAAGTCTCCGGGTAGGCACAGGCGAGTGCGCAGCCGCGGCCCCGGCTCGCCCCGCCCCTCACCCTGCGCCGCTGGTGGACCGCGGGGCCGCCTTGGGGTCAGTGCGCCTGAGCAGCTGGAAGGTTTCCTCCCACCCCCTCGCGTCAGACAGGGAGGCGGGGCTGTGGGCGGGGCGCGGGAGCAGGTCCGCGCCGGGCATCCCACGCCCGCCTGGACCTGGGCCTGCCTGACGCCGTCGGCGCTCACGTAATAGCGCTGAGGACGCAGGTCCGCTGCACTTCAGCCCAGACGCGCTCGCCCGGCTTCAGACGTTCACGTAAATCCTGAGAGGCTGGGCCTCCCGCTCCCGTTTTCTCGCGGAGTTGCAATCCCGAGCTCCCCGGGGTTGGAAGGTCGCGCCCAGATCCGTCCCCACCCGTCCAGGGAGCCGCCGCCCAGTGCCCCCTCCTAGTACTGGACTGCCGAGGTTCAGGAGTCCTTCAAGTTCAGGAGAGGAGGTACCAACTTCTTCGTAAGGATGCCTGAAAAGTGATAAAAATATATAATGCAGGAGTCCAGGGCTCTCGTTTTAAGATTTCCTTTCATAGACAGAGTGTTAGAGGCATAACACTAAATGTGATTTATTCCCAGAGGAATGAATGTACTGAAAAAAAGCCCACGTGGTGAAGTACATGCCCAGGCTGGGAGGGGGAAGGAAGTTGAGAAGGAATGGGCTGTGCCTATTAGGGGAAAAAGAAGTTTTGAACCAGCCAATAAAACTATGACAAAAGTAAAAGCCTAATATGGCTATAACTTGCCTAGGCAGCACCCTGGAAAGACTGAACCCTGCGGTACTCAGCGGGCGAGGAACTGGGGGAGGGACTCGCGCGCCAAGGAATAGGCTGCTTCTCCTACCTGCCCTGAGCACGCCTGCTCACCAGGCACCCGGTCTTTCAAGACCTCCATTAAAGCCTCGCTCTGCTGTTCTCTTTGTCGCAGGTCCAGTTACTGAGATTGGACCAGTGAGCACGTTTCTCACAGTTGTGGAGTGGGGATGTGGGAATCCTTCAGGGAAGCTGGAGACCAACCTCCTAAGCTACCTCTCACTGGGGCTGTGTTGGGGGATGGGGTGGGAGCCCAGCCCTTCCCAGCTCAGGAGGAGCAGCTGGTGAAGTCTGTAGGGATCCCATGGCTGTCATAGGGGAGGTGTCTGCCATTGATGATCCTCGAGACCCCAGCAGTCATTTACTGGGTCACGTTCCACTGCTGTCCCAAGCCTACCTCAGCCCATAAGGGAAGCAAGGGCTGCGGTGAACTCCGGGCAGCAGCTTTGCAAGGGTCTGATCCGGGGATCTCGCCAAGCCTTAAGGATTCAACATGCTAGGAGTCAGTAGTGAGGCCTCTAAAACCTGCACTTCCTCTTCCTGAGAGGGCCTCAAAGTAGGTTTTAACTTGCACTGGCACCCTGTGGCCAGTGTAGGAAGACCATTTCCCAGGGCATGGTTGGTCACTGTGTATGTGCCTCCTTTTGAGGTAGAGCAGGGACATGGGACAAGCATCATGATTGGCTTCTGCCTATGATGAAAAATGCTGAGAGGGTTAGTACAATAAAAGTAGGAGAGACTCCATCTCAAGACTAAGATTTCATTTTAAAAACCCTGGAGTTAGGGGATAAGATTCCTAACATACTTTATGGTAATTAGCCAATAACTGATCCTATCTCAAGGCAGGGCAAGCAGTCCTAAATGATATGTCCCCACCGCTTGAGGGTCACCACTATCTTGGAGAACAGGACTAATAGATTCCTTGTGTCAAGTTTATCTAGATTCCTTGTGTCAAGAAAATCTAGAGAACAGACTGGATGGTAACATACTGTCTCTCACTGGAGACAGACATCATGACCATAGCTTACACTCCCCTGGCCCTTTACCCCATTCTTGAATCCTCAAAAACCCAAATCCTAAACCTTTAATTGCACCTCCTTCTCTGAGGTGGCCACACTCCCGTCTGAGTTTACCTGACTTTCTTGTTGCACAAGCCCATTGCACTTTGTCTCTACTCTTTTTCATGATAAGACAAGAACTCACCGACCTCCACCTCCAGAGGTGTCTCTGTCACTTTGCTATTTCACTCAGTTTTCTAGACTTAAGCACAATCTTCTCTCTTCCTGTCCTACTTCAGACAAGTAGGGAAGGGCTACTGAGATCTCTGATTTGGGCTTGCAAGTTCCTGTCACCTGGGTGACCCAGATGGAATTGCAGCTCTATGATGATGCTCTTTAGCGGCCTGCTGGGAAATCTCTTTGCTTTGGGGAGTTCTCAGAACAGAACCTCACTCCACCCGGTGCTCTGCAGCTCCCCCACATCCTGGGTGGTGGGGGCTTAGTTCCCAGGCCCTGCAGATTCAAGCTGGCACTGGACTCCAGAGAAGCCTGGCTTTAGGAGTCGGCAAGGGATCTGCCCTATGAGCAAGAATTCAATGAGCGTCCCTCTCCTCCCTCTGCTCTTCCCTGCTCTCTGCTGCCTCCACAACTGCTGCCATTTGTTGCTACTCTCGCTTTAATGAATTCCTTCTTACCTACACTCATCCAACCTGTTCACAAATTCTTTCTCGATAAGAGTCAAAAACCCTCTCCCAGGCTGAGGTCTCACCTAGTGCGCAGGGAGACCACCCTGGACTGGATTGCCCAACAACACTGATGGGCAACAATGGAAGGCAGCATCTCCTCATCCATCCTCATCACGCAGTTATGGAAAGCTGGACACCAAGGGGTTCGTGAGCACAGATGGTCTCAGAGCCAGAGGAAGGGCACATCAGGGCCGTGAGGCCGGCGTCCCAACCCTGCCAGTTCCTACCTCTGTGACCTCAGCCAAGTTACTCAGGCTGCATGAGCTTCAGTGGCCAAGGCTCGGCTCACAGCCCTGCTGTCCACCCCAGGATCACAAGATCATGCACAGAGTAGCCTGAGGCCGCAGGTCATGGCCCAGAACTAGCATCCCAAACTTCCACTTGAGGACAGATTCAGTTAGCTCAGGTCTCCAGGGTGCTGGCCTGGCGTTGCTCAGAACGAGGTTCATGACATTATGGCAGTGCCTACATCAAAAGCTTTAATGAGCATGTCTTTGACTTTGCCCCTTGTAAAGTGACAGTTCTTTTCTGTCCCTGTGAGGCAGCAAAGGGCCCTTGACCACAATAAACTGACCCACCTCTTCCACTTCAATATAAAATACTTCATTTCTCCATTTGGATCATCTGTTATATAAAAACATGTTTAAAAACTCTCTTGCCTTTGGAAACAGAGTAAACCAGCAGCCTGAGTTTAGAACTGTGGCCCCAGAAACCAACCATTTTTCACCCTAACATACAACCACACAACAATTTAATGAAAGTCGAAGGACACTGGACATTTTTGCACATCCACCAAGACACTGAGAACTACTACACCTGAGACAGCACCACCGGCAATGGCACTTGGAGTTGCAACTTGTAGGGCACTCGACAAGACAGAAGTTCAAAATATACTCAGTAACTAGATCCTAAATTCCTGTTTTAAAAGGGGAGGACAGGGCATCATTATTTAATACACTGGATTGTCAAAGAGCATCAAGCTCTTAGGAAAGACACAAACAACACATTATGAGAAAATGCAAACTACAGTGATTTTTTAGAAAAACAACAATTACTGTTTGCAGTCTGGAGTTAAAGGAACATATGGTTTTTCCAAGAAGAAAGATGGTTAAGAATGAGACTGGCACAATCACAATGGTGTCAATGCAGGAGAAATGATCATTGAATTGAACCACATGGAAAGGGCTGCCCAGGAGCACACACTGGCGGGTGGGCCGAGCCAAAGCCCAGTGGCCCTGGAATCCCAGGCCCCCACCCCAGAGTTATGCAGACCAGAGTCGCCAGCTGGGCATTTTCACCGCTGTCAGTGTGCTGTCTTTTTTTTTATCATTAAACATGCAATTCCTTAGTCAGTTAAAGAATTGCTTCCAGAAGGGCCATGTAAAAAGAGCAAAGCTGCTCTCTGGGAGGTTAAATCACCTTGATCATCAACATTGGGAGATGTTTCCAGCTCTGGAGAATGAACACTGGAAGGGTTGGGACTTTGCCCTGCCCTAGAGGGCTCTGGACAGGTCTGGGGTTGTGCTTAGACCGGCAACTCTGGGCAGAGAGAGGCAGGGGCAGGGGAGCCCATTTGCCAAGGTACAGAGTGGGCATCACGGGTATGTGGGATGCCTCTGTGGGGGTGAAGGCGGCTGTCCGCTGTGTGGGTTTGAACCTGGACCTGTCCCCGCCATGCCAGGCCTTTGCAGGCCCAGAGACTTGCCCTGTATAGAGGCACACAACACAGGCAGCCCTGGTCCCCGTCCCCTGGGAGAGGCCTGGTTCCTGGAGTGCTCCCCGTGCCCGCCTCACAGCGTCCTCGGGGGCAGGTGGAAGGGGGCTCTATTGCCCACTCCACCCATCCCTTGACAAGACAGAACACCGAACGCAGCCAGTGAGAGATGGGGCCGACCCTGGACCCCAGGCTCAGCAGTCTCAGCCAGCTCCCCTCCAGCCCCCCACCCCAGACAAGGTGGGAAGGTTTCAAGAGGATTATTTGCAAACTCCCAGAATATGTCACCAAACCAGGAACAATGGCCTGAGGGTCACTGGCCATGCAGTACTAGTTTCTGGAGCCTCACCCTGGCCTCAGCAGCCTGGCTGAGAGGATGGGGAGGGCAGCGCTTCCATGCCCTCTGCAACACTGCCCTCCCAAAAGCTCCTGGGCAAGCCCGGCAGCTCTCTGGGCCCCACCCACGGGGTCTGCGGAGGCCCCATTCCCTGGGCGCGCATGGTTGAATCCCTGTCCTTGGGAACCAGTTCAGCCTCAGCCTGGCTCCAAATGCGTATCTGAAACCACCAGAGGGCCGAGAGCACTGCCGGAAGCAGAAGCCCTGTCTCTGGGCGTTTCTTCAGGCCGCAGACCTGCGCTGCTGGAAGGGAACACCAAGTGCCCTAGCTGGGGGGGGTGGGGATAGGAAGAAGGGTCAAGGTAGGGAGTGGGTCAAGCCACCAACATTTTTTTACCAGGCAGGGACACAAGGATGCCCAGCATTGTAGGAAAGTAATCCTGTTGTTCAACTGGGTTTTAACGTTTTGGTTGGATAAAATAAAACCTGATTTTTTTCTTAGGCATGGAAAAATGTGGTACCACAAATATGGTAAAAGGTTGATCTTTGACCATTCTGTTTCAAATACACTTGTTTATGAGTCAGACAGACTTGGGGTGGAAATGAGTGATGCTAGGTGATTGCTAACAGGCTGGGGACCCAGGTGGGATGACCCCGGCCCAGGGGGAGAGGTGTAGGGCCTGGGCAAGAAGACGCCAGGTGGAAGGGGAGGAAACGGACAGGAGGGGCAGGAAGGGTGGTGCTGTCAGGGCAGCTGGGCTGGGCCAGCGGGAGCCCCACCCACTGCGCCTGGGAGCAGAAACAAAGGGCTTCCTGGGGAGGGAGGAGGGCAGAGGGGCCCCAGCAGAGGGAACTGCTGACAGATGAAGTTTAGTGAGTGGTACTCAGTTTTCTGTATTTGCCTTCCCAGCACGGGCCATTGGTCATCTTCCCTGTCTGTGCGGTTACTGTGTGTGGCTGAAGGAGGGCAAGGGAAGCATCTGTTGGTGCCACAGTTTTCTTCCCAGGGACTGGCACGTAGCAGTGCTCCATTCATGATTTTTGAATGAATTGGGCGATTTTTAATCAAGAGCTATGATGAGATTTTAATAAAGAATTAGATATTTTTAGGGAGAGAAAATAAGGGCAAATATCATCTGAAAGCACAATTACGTACACGAGTACAGATGTACAAACACACTCCTCTATGTTCACACTTATCTGCCCCTCTCACATCTGCCATCTGGAGATGAGAGAGCAAGCAGTGAGGTAGCTGCAGAGGGCGTCAGAGGGTTGGAACCTGGCCCTTTCCTGGGGGATGGGCTCTCACTGGCCGCACCCAGAGCCTGGCCCACACTGGGCCTGCAGATCGGTGCCAACGGGCAGGCACTCACATGTCCCAGTTACCACTGCTGGACACATACACACACCGTGATCACACGAGACAAGGCCGATCACTCTGGTTCACTCCACCACATGGCCCTGGATCAGGGTGACTCCCAAGCCATCCCAGGTATCAGTACGTGAGAAACAGACCTACTGTAAAACTCCCTCTTGGCTTGCCTTCTGCTACCCCATTCTTCAAGAGCAGGTGTAGACACCAGAGAGGAGGTGAGAGGTGCCCGTTTCTGACAGCTGCCCCATGTGTCCTGACAGCTGCCAAGGATGTAGGGCAGGGACAGAGGTGGAGAGGTGCCATGTGTGCACAGCCAACAGGGGAGGAAGGAGGAAAGGAAACAGAAACCTGAGCATGGTCTGAAGTTGATGTGGGTCCTCTGCGTGAGTAAAGAGCAGCAATGGACATGTGGGGGACATATGGCAGCATAGAGCCCAGCTTCCATGGACGGCCTCTACAGAAGCTTTATTAATCTTTTTCTATACACATGATTGGGGAGCAGTATAATCAACAGGATGTAATTTTATACCCTGAGTGAAAATATAAATATATCTGCACTACCTTTAACCAGATACCATCCTAATTTTTACACAGGAAAACATGTATTTAACCTGGTAAAACTCAAGCAATTCCTTTTTCAAGACTCTGCCAAGAAGTTGTACATATCAGAAGGCAGAGGCTGTTCCTTCTCATCAGTTCATAGAATCACCTGTCCATAGCTGTCATTTTGAGGGCAGAAAAAAACAGTGGACTTTTATTAATGGCTGAAATTGTAAGCATTGTAAGCCGTGTCCACAGAGTAGGGTCACGGGTGGCCAGATGGAGATGTGGTATGGGGGTGGTCCCATCTGACTGGTTCAGTTGACATGTCCTCACTAGGTGCCCTTAACTCTCAGCAAACTTAGGGTTCATCACTGTTGTGGTGGCACTCTTGAAGAGGGGGTTATCCTAGAGAAAAAGGCAAACATGACTCAATGCAGGGAGGCGCGAGCCAGGTGGGTTGCCTCCCTGCCCCCCGGCAGAGCTTGCCCACAGCTGTGGACACTCTGAGGACAAGCTGTGGGGGGCAGGTGCAGAGAGGCTGGGGGGTTGGGAGGTGGACCCACTGCTTGGCCCCTCCCCCAGCCCCCATGGCCCCTCACATTGTTCCACTGGGACTTGAGCTTCTCCTTCTCGAAGCGCTTATATTCCCTGAGGTCACTCAGGTGGATCAGGGCCTTCCAGATGGCCAGCAGGAGGGTGCCGAAGAACACGACCCCCGACACGGTGCCCCCCACGATGGCGGCTATTGGCGGGCCCTTCGGGCACTCTAAAGCAGGGAAGAAGCGCATGTACACAGCGTCAGGCCCTCCCGTGCCCCCACCCTGTGGCTGGCCCAGCAGGGAGGCACAGAGCTGGAAGGGGGCCAGGCCCTGCAGTCCCAAGGGAGATGCACGGTCCATTTCCACCAGGGAAGAAGGCAGGGCCTGGCCTGTGAGTGGCCTGGGCAGACCCTGGCCGGACACCTGCCTCCTGGCCCACAGTCACAGCCAGCCGAGACCCCCATTGCCCGACCACCAAAACCGCCTGAGCCTGAGCCAGTCCTTGGGCAGGACGTGGTACCTAAGGGTGCCCAGCCAGCCTGTGGTGTACAGGAGCGGGCGCTTGCCTGGTGAAGGTATTCTGAGGCAGCCAATGGCAGCAGCCTTGGGATGAGTGACCGGGTTCCCAGTTCCCCAGGGGGCTGCACCAGGTCTCCTCCTGAGGGACGGAGGAGCTCACTCTCGGCGCCCTCCCCCTTCAGGCCTGTGCTCCATCCACCATCTTGGCCTCTCTAGGCAGCTTTATTATTTTCGCAGAGATTGCACACTGTGGCCAAGGCCACACAAAACCGAAAGTGACCCCAACCTGCCCACCAAAGAAACCTAGACGGAACTGTCCTCTCTGGCAGGCCAGAGCCTGTAGCCCTGCGGCACAGGCAGGGAGCTCCCGGCCACAGGGAGACCCGAGCCCAGCCTGCCTTCCTGGGATCCCATCTGGGGAGGCAGAGCTGGGAGCAGGTCTCGGTCCTGCAAGGGCCCTGGGATTGCTGGCTCGTGCCTGGGCTGGTCATCTGAGTGGCCAGGCCTCCCAGCCTCTTTGAGAAGGAAGGGGGGTGGGGTGCCGAGTGTTTGCACCATGTGCCGCATGCCCCCAAGCACCGCTTGTCTAATGCCCTAAAACCCACCCCACTGTGGGCCTGTTTAAAGACACTGCGCCCCACTCACACCTCGTCATATCACCTGGAGCCCCATCTCAAAGCTGACCTAACCCCCCACACCTGCTAGGGGCCTGTGGGTCTCACACCTGTCACTTATCCCTCCTGATCCTGCTCCATGCCATGCAAGGGTGGTCTCTGCCCACAGCATCCCCACGGCCCCACCCTGGCCTACTCCCACCATCTTCTTGCCTCACTGCCTGGGGTGTGATGTGGCCTCTCGTGGTCTGCATCTGACTTTTGAAAATACTCTCTGACAAAGCTGTGAACAGCTTCCTGGTGCATTTGGAAAAAGACTCTCATGCCCCTCAGGAGACACAGAGCCTCCGAAGCTCAGCTTCTGGTTCTGTCTGTCCAGGCGCTCTCATCCTCTGCCCTCAGCTGCAACATGGTCCCCTCCGTGACACCTGACCTCTGACCCTGGGTATACACCTGGCCGTGGTCTTTGCCCCTGGAGGACCCTGGGCGCAGCCCCATGCTTTCTCAGACTCTGGTGTTCTGATGTGTTTGTAGGCCAAGTGTGTCCCCACCCCCCTTGAAGCGAGAACCCCATGAAGACAGGGTGGGTGTGTCCATATCCTTGACCACTACTGGGCCTGGTGTGGAGCAATCTCAAGGACAGACAGGTGAACAGCGTTTGGGCGCCGGGGCTACTGGGACCCTGCCAGCCCTGCAGAGCTGAGATCTGAGTACTAGGATATTCAGAGGTCCGCGGGTAATCCTAGCACGGCTGCCTGCAGGCCAGCTCTAGGCACCCACGGCTCTGAGCCTGGGGTAGTCCTCAAGCGGGAGATGACCAGGCGCCCCTCCTGGTGCAGCACCCTCGCCTCCTCTGCAGGCCCCGGATGAGCCTTGGCCCCTGCCCGCTGGGCTCACCTCGGCTGTCGTCCACCCGGATGAGGTATTTGTCCTTCCCATTCCGCAGCTCCAGGGCGAAGGTGACCCAGCAGCCCTCCGAGTCGCGCTCCTTGCACGTGCGGCCGTCGCCAAGGGGCTCCTTCTGCAGCGTCAGGCCGCTGCACGCTGCACTGCAGTTCCCGGCCAAGGGGCCCTTGTGGAACTGCAGGCACTCGGCGCAGGCGCTGCGAAGGGGCCGGGGAGTGGGCGTGAGCCAGGGCGCGGGCCGCTGCATCGGAAGGGCCTCTCAGGGGCAGCCCGCGCCCCTTTGCTGGGCGCACATCCCGGCACTCACATGTAGTGGCCGCAGGGCACCGGGCAGCCGGGGCAGGACCAGCAGTGGGGCTGTTGGTAGCCTGTGTCACATTCACACACGTTGCAGCGGCACCGGCCGCGGCCGCTGCACACGTACCCGTCCTTGTTCACGCAGCCCTGGGTGGAGTTTGCGCACTGGCACGCCGAGCCCTCGAATTCCGGTTTGCACTCGCACTTGCCGCAGTTGCAGCGGCCGCGCTCTGGAAAAGAGGCCAGCGCACTCGCCGCCCGCCCCGCAGCCCTCGCCCCGGGGCACTGGGCCCTCCGCAGCCATGCCAGACGCGCGTCTGTGCCCTGCGCGCCCTTGCCTCCACTCACTTGGGCCCCCGCACACTTGGCCCTCGAAGCGCTCACAGTTGACGTCGTCACACTGGCAGAACTGCCCGAAGATGTGCTTGTTGGGCGTGTCGCTGCTGTGGCACACACACTGCCCGCACACGCAGTCACCCAGCCCCGAGCAGACGAGGGAATTGTTGTCCTTCCGGCAGTGTCCTTCCAGCTCCTGGCTGCTGCGGCCTTGCGTCTGGCACTCGCAGTTCTTCCCGACGTAGCCAGGGTCACACCTGGGGCAGAGGTTGCAAGGTCAGGCTCCTCCGGGCACCCTGGCTCAGGGGTCCGAACATCTGCAGCCTGGCGCGGCACCTCACCGGCAGATGCCGCACTCCACGGAGCCCTTGCTGCTGCAGAGGCCGCGGTCCACACCCGCGTCCCGGCACTGGCACTCGCACTGGGGAAGGGCCTGCACGGTCACCGTGTCCGTGAAGCCCAGTGCTCGGATGACAAACGACTGCTCCTGGATGCACTCCGAGGCCGTGACCTTCACCTGGAAGGTGATCTGTGGCGGGGGGAACAGCCGGACTCAGGCGCTGCCCAGACGCCGAGGTCACCGCCCTGCCCTCATCCCCTCACCCCCTGGCCTGGACACAGGGGCTCGGCTGGAATGTCCTGACAGAGTGGGTGCCCGTCCTTGGCGCCAGGCCTGAGGTGGTAGCTGCAGAGGGCGTCAGAGGGTTGGAACCTGGCCCTTTCCTGGGGGATGGGCTCTCACTGGCCGCACCCAGAGCCTGGCCCACACTGGGCCTGCAGATCGGTGCCAACGGGCAGGCACTCACATGTCCCAGTTACCACTGCTGGACACATACACACACCGTGATCACACGAGACAAGGCCGATCACTCTGGTTCACTCCACCACATGGCCCTGGATCAGGGTGACTCCCAAGCCATCCCAGGTGTCAGTACGTGAGAAACAGACCTACTGTAAAACTCCCTCTTGGCTTGCCTTCTGCTACCCCATTCTTCAAGAGCAGGTGTAGACACCAGAGAGGAGGTGAGAGGTGCCCGTTTCTGACAGCTGCCCCATGTGTCCTGACAGCTGCCAAGGATGTAGGGCAGGGACAGAGGTGGAGAGGTGCCATGTGTGCACAGCCAACAGGGGAGGAAGGAGGAAAGGAAACAGAAACCTGAGCATGGTCTGAAGTTGATGTGGGTCCTCTGCGTGAGTAAAGAGCAGCAATGGACATGTGGGGGACATATGGCAGCATAGAGCCCAGCTTCCATGGACGGCCTCTACAGAAGCTTTATTAATCTTTTTCTATACACATGATTGGGGAGCAGTATAATCAACAGGATGTAATTTTATACCCTGAGTGAAAATATAAATATATCTGCACTACCTTTAACCAGATACCATCCTAATTTTTACACAGGAAAACATGTATTTAACCTGGTAAAACTCAAGCAATTCCTTTTTCAAGACTCTGCCAAGAAGTTGTACATATCAGAAGGCAGAGGCTGTTCCTTCTCATCAGTTCATAGAATCACCTGTCCATAGCTGTCATTTTGAGGGCAGAAAAAAACAGTGGACTTTTATTAATGGCTGAAATTGTAAGCATTGTAAGCCGTGTCCACAGAGTAGGGTCACGGGTGGCCAGATGGAGATGTGGTATGGGGGTGGTCCCATCTGACTGGTTCAGTTGACATGTCCTCACTAGGTGCCCTTAACTCTCAGCAAACTTAGGGTTCATCACTGTTGTGGTGGCACTCTTGAAGAGGGGGTTATCCTAGAGAAAAAGGCAAACATGACTCAATGCAGGGAGGCGCGAGCCAGGTGGGTTGCCTCCCTGCCCCCCGGCAGAGCTTGCCCACAGCTGTGGACACTCTGAGGACAAGCTGTGGGGGGCAGGTGCAGAGAGGCTGGGGGGTTGGGAGGTGGACCCACTGCTTGGCCCCTCCCCCAGCCCCCATGGCCCCTCACATTGTTCCACTGGGACTTGAGCTTCTCCTTCTCGAAGCGCTTATATTCCCTGAGGTCACTCAGGTGGATCAGGGCCTTCCAGATGGCCAGCAGGAGGGTGCCGAAGAACACGACCCCCGACACGGTGCCCCCCACGATGGCGGCTATTGGCGGGCCCTTCGGGCACTCTAAAGCAGGGAAGAAGCGCATGTACACAGCGTCAGGCCCTCCCGTGCCCCCACCCTGTGGCTGGCCCAGCAGGGAGGCACAGAGCTGGAAGGGGGCCAGGCCCTGCAGTCCCAAGGGAGATGCACGGTCCATTTCCACCAGGGAAGAAGGCAGGGCCTGGCCTGTGAGTGGCCTGGGCAGACCCTGGCCGGACACCTGCCTCCTGGCCCACAGTCACAGCCAGCCGAGACCCCCATTGCCCGACCACCAAAACCGCCTGAGCCTGAGCCAGTCCTTGGGCAGGACGTGGTACCTAAGGGTGCCCAGCCAGCCTGTGGTGTACAGGAGCGGGCGCTTGCCTGGTGAAGGTATTCTGAGGCAGCCAATGGCAGCAGCCTTGGGATGAGTGACCGGGTTCCCAGTTCCCCAGGGGGCTGCACCAGGTCTCCTCCTGAGGGACGGAGGAGCTCACTCTCGGCGCCCTCCCCCTTCAGGCCTGTGCTCCATCCACCATCTTGGCCTCTCTAGGCAGCTTTATTATTTTCGCAGAGATTGCACACTGTGGCCAAGGCCACACAAAACCGAAAGTGACCCCAACCTGCCCACCAAAGAAACCTAGACGGAACTGTCCTCTCTGGCAGGCCAGAGCCTGTAGCCCTGCGGCACAGGCAGGGAGCTCCCGGCCACAGGGAGACCCGAGCCCAGCCTGCCTTCCTGGGATCCCATCTGGGGAGGCAGAGCTGGGAGCAGGTCTCGGTCCTGCAAGGGCCCTGGGATTGCTGGCTCGTGCCTGGGCTGGTCATCTGAGTGGCCAGGCCTCCCAGCCTCTTTGAGAAGGAAGGGGGGTGGGGTGCCGAGTGTTTGCACCATGTGCCGCATGCCCCCAAGCACCGCTTGTCTAATGCCCTAAAACCCACCCCACTGTGGGCCTGTTTAAAGACACTGCGCCCCACTCACACCTCGTCATATCACCTGGAGCCCCATCTCAAAGCTGACCTAACCCCCCACACCTGCTAGGGGCCTGTGGGTCTCACACCTGTCACTTATCCCTCCTGATCCTGCTCCATGCCATGCAAGGGTGGTCTCTGCCCACAGCATCCCCACGGCCCCACCCTGGCCTACTCCCACCATCTTCTTGCCTCACTGCCTGGGGTGTGATGTGGCCTCTCGTGGTCTGCATCTGACTTTTGAAAATACTCTCTGACAAAGCTGTGAACAGCTTCCTGGTGCATTTGGAAAAAGACTCTCATGCCCCTCAGGAGACACAGAGCCTCCGAAGCTCAGCTTCTGGTTCTGTCTGTCCAGGCGCTCTCATCCTCTGCCCTCAGCTGCAACATGGTCCCCTCCGTGACACCTGACCTCTGACCCTGGGTATACACCTGGCCGTGGTCTTTGCCCCTGGAGGACCCTGGGCGCAGCCCCATGCTTTCTCAGACTCTGGTGTTCTGATGTGTTTGTAGGCCAAGTGTGTCCCCACCCCCCTTGAAGCGAGAACCCCATGAAGACAGGGTGGGTGTGTCCATATCCTTGACCACTACTGGGCCTGGTGTGGAGCAATCTCAAGGACAGACAGGTGAACAGCGTTTGGGCGCCGGGGCTACTGGGACCCTGCCAGCCCTGCAGAGCTGAGATCTGAGTACTAGGATATTCAGAGGTCCGCGGGTAATCCTAGCACGGCTGCCTGCAGGCCAGCTCTAGGCACCCACGGCTCTGAGCCTGGGGTAGTCCTCAAGCGGGAGATGACCAGGCGCCCCTCCTGGTGCAGCACCCTCGCCTCCTCTGCAGGCCCCGGATGAGCCTTGGCCCCTGCCCGCTGGGCTCACCTCGGCTGTCGTCCACCCGGATGAGGTATTTGTCCTTCCCATTCCGCAGCTCCAGGGCGAAGGTGACCCAGCAGCCCTCCGAGTCGCGCTCCTTGCACGTGCGGCCGTCGCCAAGGGGCTCCTTCTGCAGCGTCAGGCCGCTGCACGCTGCACTGCAGTTCCCGGCCAAGGGGCCCTTGTGGAACTGCAGGCACTCGGCGCAGGCGCTGCGAAGGGGCCGGGGAGTGGGCGTGAGCCAGGGCGCGGGCCGCTGCATCGGAAGGGCCTCTCAGGGGCAGCCCGCGCCCCTTTGCTGGGCGCACATCCCGGCACTCACATGTAGTGGCCGCAGGGCACCGGGCAGCCGGGGCAGGACCAGCAGTGGGGCTGTTGGTAGCCTGTGTCACATTCACACACGTTGCAGCGGCACCGGCCGCGGCCGCTGCACACGTACCCGTCCTTGTTCACGCAGCCCTGGGTGGAGTTTGCGCACTGGCACGCCGAGCCCTCGAATTCCGGTTTGCACTCGCACTTGCCGCAGTTGCAGCGGCCGCGCTCTGGAAAAGAGGCCAGCGCACTCGCCGCCCGCCCCGCAGCCCTCGCCCCGGGGCACTGGGCCCTCCGCAGCCATGCCAGACGCGCGTCTGTGCCCTGCGCGCCCTTGCCTCCACTCACTTGGGCCCCCGCACACTTGGCCCTCGAAGCGCTCACAGTTGACGTCGTCACACTGGCAGAACTGCCCGAAGATGTGCTTGTTGGGCGTGTCGCTGCTGTGGCACACACACTGCCCGCACACGCAGTCACCCAGCCCCGAGCAGACGAGGGAATTGTTGTCCTTCCGGCAGTGTCCTTCCAGCTCCTGGCTGCTGCGGCCTTGCGTCTGGCACTCGCAGTTCTTCCCGACGTAGCCAGGGTCACACCTGGGGCAGAGGTTGCAAGGTCAGGCTCCTCCGGGCACCCTGGCTCAGGGGTCCGAACATCTGCAGCCTGGCGCGGCACCTCACCGGCAGATGCCGCACTCCACGGAGCCCTTGCTGCTGCAGAGGCCGCGGTCCACACCCGCGTCCCGGCACTGGCACTCGCACTGGGGAAGGGCCTGCACGGTCACCGTGTCCGTGAAGCCCAGTGCTCGGATGACAAACGACTGCTCCTGGATGCACTCCGTGGCCGTGACCTTCACCTGGAAGGTGATCTGTGGCGGGGGGAACAGCCGGACTCAGGCGCTGCCCAGACGCCGAGGTCACCGCCCTGCCCTCATCCCCTCACCCCCTGGCCTGGACACAGGGGCTCGGCTGGAATGTCCTGACAGAGTGGGTGCCCGTCCTTGGCGCCAGGCCTGAGGGGTGGCAGCCTCTGAAGGAGCCCCAGAGGGGGTGGTTCAGGGTGGGGGAGGGGGAACACATGGCGCCCTCCGGGCTCCTCCAGGACTTGGGACTTGAGACAAGAGACAGAGAATGAACAGGAAGCTCAGAGTATGAGGTGCCACAGCCTGGCGGCAGCAGGCCCAGCAAACTCTGTGGAGCCCCTGGTGCTCCCCCCTCACCCCTGTCTCCCACCCCCGCCCCCAACTCTCCAGTCTTCTGGCCTGAACTTAGGGCCCGCTGAGGTGGGCCGGGGCGTCTTAGAATACCTTTTATCATACATGCGTTGAAAAGGATTTTAGAGTAACTTTATAAAGGGTCTGCATTTTCTCCACACATTTTGTCCTTAAGTCCAGTATACTAAGGTGCCAGAACCCCGCGGGAGGCCCCAGGTCCCGGACATGGAGCTGTCCTCTGGCCCTGAACGGAGAGTACAGATCATGCCCAGGAAGGGCCCAGGGCGGCAGAGCAGAGTCCGCACGCGCACACTGCGCCTGAAGCGGTCCCGGCACAGCTTCAGGGAGTGTCCTGCTCGCAAGCCCCATGCCCCAAATACCTTCCATGAGCTTCTGCAGGTACCTTAAGCTGGTGCTCAAGGAGCAGGAAGAACAGGAAAAAAGCAGCCACCCGTCGTAAGATCGAATAAATTCCCATGTGCATCACCCAGTATGTGAGAAAGATATTTCAGCAAGTATTCATACCCAACGTTTAGTAAGTAATATATTTGAAGGGATTCCATATTTATATAATTCATATTGTAAAATGCAGTGAAAGTAAGCATTTTGCTGAATATGTATTCATGGCCAGAAAAGGGAAAATTTAATTGTTATGGTCACAGTAAATTTAAATTATTACAGAAATAATTAATATCTGTTTATGATAATCTGTGGGGTCCCCCCTTTATATCTTTGCCAAAAAGCAAAACAAAACCATAAAAATTAGGAAACCAAACAAAACCATAAGTGCAGGGGGAAGAACTCCCTTCTTTGCTGGAGGCGCTGTGTCCAGCATCTGCCCCCAGGGGGCGCTGCCATCCTGGAGGTGGCTCCTTGGACACGAGGGGTGTCTTTTGTGTTTATAAGGAGGATGCCCTATGCCAAGGAGTGTGCCAGGCTTGCCACCTGCCTCTCTCCTGAGCATGTAAGACATGATCTCACACAAGCCACACCTGACTGCCTCAGAGGATTTTAAATAAAGAGGACTGGACGGGCCAGGGACGCGGGCCCCTGCAGCCTGCCAGTTCCAGTGCTAGCCCATCTGCCTTGGTGCACTCCTTCCAGCTGTCACGGGAGAGGACCTTCCGGAGGGCTGGGATGGGACCTCACCGGGACGTTGATCTGGACGCCGTCACAGTCTCCTCTGGGCTGGTCCACCCGTGACACTCCGTTGCTGCAGAAGGAGTCATAGGTGACCTTCAGGGTGTCAGGGAGGGTGCTGTGGTCCAGAAAGACCCTGGAGGAGAGTTTCTGTGGGCAAAGAGGGGCTTCCCGTTGGAGAGGGCCATCCTGCTGCCCGGCCCTTCCCTCTGAGGGCTTGGATGGCTCTCCATTTCTCATCCTCCCCTCTGTCCACGTGCCCACGGACCTGGGTAGGCACCAGGTCCTGCACCCCAAGCGGGAAGTGGTGGGGTTACCAATGCCAGGGCTCCCCCAAGACAGACCAGTGAGGGGATTGACATGCAGATGGACCCTGCCTGTGAGGATGGGGGCTTTACAGTCCCACCCACTCCTGAATGCCCAGTGCCAGATCAAGAAGGGGCTAAAAACTGTTTAATTGAACAAGAGTGAGAGAAACAGAGACAGACAGACAGAAGTGAATGAGACAGTGATGAGGGCATCATTGGTGCAAAGACAGACGCACCTATGGGCAGCGGCTGGAGCTCTGGGGAGCCTGCTTTGGAAGTTTAGGGCTCCGAGGGTGTGAGAAGCTAACAGAACCTCCTCAATGGGCTCTAACTTAATTCAGTCTTAATAACAACATTTATCTGGTGCTCTCAGTGTGCTGTGCTCAGTGTGGCCCTGGGACCTTTGGCCTAGAAGAAGGGCTGGTGCTCATGTTTCAGGGAAGGTACAGGTGAGGATCTGGTGTGGCACATAACAAGCCAGTCACCAGAGAGGACACAGCTGGCCTGGAAGTGCCAGGGTCAGTCTGTCCAGAAGGTCTCAGGGTGGCCCACAGGAGGCAGGGCTCTCCTCTCCCGACCCCCTTCTGTTGACCTGCAGCCCGGAAGGCATCTCTACTGACACTCTGGGGTCCCCACTGAGCACCCAGGGGACTCACATTGTAGGCATTCTTAATGAGCTGCACCACGTTGCTGGAGTCATCCGACAGCTCCCCGACAGCTGACTTGGGGATGATCTCGGTGAGTTTCTGTCAGACCAGAGGACAGATGAGTCACAGCAGGAACTCTGGGGCCACAGTTCTATAACATCCCAGAGGTTCCTTCTCATCATAAAATGTTTACATTATACCCGACCCCTTACTGGGTTTAGTTAAGGCAGTGCGCAGTCAGTGGTAAAGTTTAACAATTGGCTCTCAGGAAGAGAAAGCTCTGGGTTGTAGTGTTTGCTCATTTCCTTAGTATAAAGAAAGACTCCACTGTGGCCGATTTCAAGCTCTTGACATCACCAAACACAGCAGGGAAGAGATGTGCCCGGCCACCATTAGTATTTCTACCACCAGTGAAATGGGCACAAACAACGGCACAGGTAATTGTAAAGTGCACCAGAACCATCAGGAAGGGATGAGTTCTGAGCATTTTAATGAGTTGATAAAATTTAATTCTAATGACTCTGTTAAGCCACAGTGTGACAATCAGCTCCGGCAGGTCAGTGTTTGCCGGTCCAATGAGGGCCCCAGGCATGTGCACCTGTAAAGTGCACAGGCCTGTGCCAGCCTCCGGGTCATTTGAGTCCCACTCCCCGACACCTTAGCCCCAGCATCATGCCATCTTCCGTGGGAGATCACACCACCACTTCACTGTACAGACTGATGGTTGTGTCACTTCCCTGCCCCAAACCCTTCTGTGATTCCCTGAAATGGGGTCCAGTTACCTCACAGGCTCATGGGGACCATTGCAGCCTAGCCACCAATCCCTTCTTCTCTCCACTGCCCTCTCCCCTCTGCCCTGGCCATGGGACCCCACCATGGCTGGGGGAGCTGGGCTCTCCCACATGCGGCCCTGTCCTGTCCACCTAATCTCCACCTGGTGCAGAAACACCAAGGAGGGTCCAGCATGTACTGTCCTTACAGGTGATGGGTGGCCTTCACGCCTCTCACCCAGAAGCCCTGTGAATGGGAGTCAAGAAACAGGCTCAGAAGGGCCTGTTGACCTGCCCAGAGCATTGTCCATGCTAGCGGGGAACAGGGTTTGGGGTTCAGGTCTCCTGTCTCCAGCTTCTACTGAATCACTGCCTTGTCTCCTGGAACACGAGTTTTTCTTCTAAAAGCACATTACTGGGATCTGCTATCACATGGTGAGGAGGGGGTCACCTTGTCTCAGAATATGGCCAGGGCCATGGTGGCTCTGAGGCCCTGACCTGCTGGTGCTCATGCAGTGAATGTGGCAGGCAGTCTTTGAGCCTGTGATGCCATCTGCCTGCCCCGCACGGAGCCCCTGCCCCTGGGGTTTGGCTCCAGCCGCCCCACCCAGGGGTCTCCTGGACATGTTCCCTCCCCCTCACCGTGTCCCTTGCAGGGTCCTGTCCCTGCTCCAGAGTCTGGGAAAACTGACAGCAGGCATTGCTGGTCTCGCTCTTGGCTCCCCACACACCCCAGGCAGAGGTGACAGCAGAAGGCTGGACCCAGGGGAAGGCACCAGCCCATCTGAGCTGCTGGTGCCCCTCATGCTCACTCAGCCACAGCAAATGATGGCCCAACACAGCAAGTAAAACACAAACACAACAACTGAAAAGAGGGGAGGAGGGATGGAAGGGAACTGGCCCGAACCGGAGAGCCTGCAGGATTTCATCTACAGAAGAACTGAGTAGGAACCATGATTCACTAAATTCAGGACAGATCCAGGGTTCCTGAGGCAGAGAAGAGGAAGGGTCGTTGCACCTGGAGTGTTGGCCGCTACAGGTAGAGCGCTGGCTTGGGGGCTGCTCTCAACTGGTTATTGGGTGGCTTCCTTGAGGACCCCACAAAGCTTTGGCTTAAGGCTTAAGGTTCATGACCTTTCCTGAATAGATCTTATACTTGATGAAAAGTGCTTACATTCAAACGTATATAACTACAAAACAAAATTTCCTTAAACAGAAGGATTGAATCTGCAGACGGGAAGGAGTTGCTACATTGTAGCAAAAATGGAAACATTGTGACAAACCCTGAGACACCTGCTGTTAATGCCACTGAAATTCATCAACAGGGTGAGAGACCTAAATGTGTCCTGCAAAGGCCTCGGGCTCCTCAGCAGCAGTGCTCAGGCCCAGGAGTGGTGGCCTGGCACTAAGCACGCAGAAGCCGGTGCCGCCCACGGGGACCCAGACGTCACCGTCCGGCTGGAACACCGTGCCCACTCCCGGCCTCCTGGCCGCACTGACCTCATAGGTCTGCACCATCCCCTTGGTCACAGCAAAGATGGGCTGTATGTTGCTTTCGGCCAGCTTGTGCGCCAGCTGGCCCACCGACGGGTAGTCCTGTGGAGGAGACGCTGGTCAGCTGGCCCCTGAGGCTGGGGACAAGCCATGCAGGCCATCATCTGCTCCCATCCAGCAGGAGCACCTGCTACAGCCCAGGGGCTTAGCCCTGTGCATGTCGTCAGTGGGGCCTTTCTGAACAATGTTGACAAATGAATAAAGTAATGTGATCATGGCAGAAACTGAAGTACTGACGTACAGTCAAAAATATGGGAGGCTGTGATGTGCCCTTCATTGGTGCATTAAAAAGAAATCTGGTGGCGAGTAGCCACTCCTAGACGTTCACAGTGGAGATGGGGGCGAACAGTGTTTCGAGGGCTCCACGCTTTTGGGGCACTGGGGAGACACCTCTGGCTCCCACTGGGCACTGCCCAGCCCCAGGCACCTACTTTCATCACTGAAGGACACACTCAATATCAGGCAGAGGCTCACTGGGACGCCAGGTGTCACTTTCTTCCTGTCCACCTTCAAGGACCTCTGAGCTCTACCCACAGCGCCCCTGCCAAGTCTGAGGCTCCAGGCAGGGAACCCCACTCATGCGTCACTCAGGCCCTTGGCAATGCCTGGATTTCAGCACGTCAGGGTGCAGGGCGTCCTTCCACCACAGGCTGGGGCAAGCCCCCATGAAAGGAGAGGCGTGGAGGCCCACAACTGCACCCCCAAACCAGAGATGTCTGACCTCTGTGTGCCCCCAGAGCGCCTCCAGCTGGAGGGAGGGAACTCTCCTACGGGAGCTCAGCTGGAGGTGTGAGCCCCTTCTGGCCTCAACCTCCAGCCCTGGGGCAGAGCCACAAACCCTCCTCCCAAGTTCCCTGTGCCCCTCCCAGGACACAGAGTGTGGGGGTACGCACAAATTCATTGCTGCTTTTGTACATGTTATCCTCCAGGTGGCAGCGGCCATCATTGGGGGTCAGGATGGCACCCAGTTTCCCATCGCCCGCAAAATGGAAGCCGTCGTCTGTGGCGAACACCAGCAGCCGTGTGACGTTGCGCCAGCCGATTTCCTCCTAAGAAGAAGATGGTGGGTTGCCTGCCTCGGTTTTCCCAGCGGAGCCCTTGCAGCGACAAGGAGAGGTGAGGTAAAGCTCCTCCAAAACCCCAGAGTGCGGCGGCTTCGAGGCTGGCGTTGTGCCGCCCCGCTCTGGGGTGTCCCAGGACAGGAGGATCCAGGTCAGGACCCAATCGGGGGCCAGCTCCTCAAGTCGGGGCCCCCACACCTAGCCCAGATTCCAGCACCCAGAGGCACTCCAGAAATGTCTGTGGGATGACAGCTTCCCTTAAGTGTGCGGGACACAGGAGGGGGTAGGGGTTGAAATACATGTTTAAATTTAAGAAATGTGCCCTCTGTGACCCAATCAGTTCAAACCTGGGACTCAAGGAAATATTCCCGAGAAAGTAAAGAAAATACTCATAGAAATGTGTATTACAATGCAAAAATATTGCAAACACAAAGGCAAAGAACCTATGTGGACATGGCAACAGGGGACAGGTGGGCAGGGGACGTTGGCACGCATGTCCTCAGCTGTGGCTCACACAAAACAAAGCATGTGTTGCTAGTACAGCACGTCTGGGGACCCTCAGAGAAGCTGGGAGACTGGAACCTGGCAATGGTGGCTGGACTGTGGAGCAGAGTGGCGGGTCAGGGGGACATTGCTTATTTGCATCATAAATGCAGTGGGTGGGGCAGAACCAGACAGGGCCACTCCGGTGAGGGGTCAGCAAGAGGCACAGGTGGAAGGCACTGGGTTGAGGGATAGGCCACACACTGCCACTGAGACCTCGTAACGGAGAGCCACCTCTTCCCTGAGGGGCACTGGGGTGGCTGTGAATCCGCCAGGGCCCGGCTGCTCAGCGGTCTTGCCTTACAAGACCATTTGCTTATATTTAGGCTTCAGAAGGTTTGCCCAGGATCCCAGTTAGTAGTGAAATCTGTGACCTGTTACCACCCCAAACCCAGGCTGGTGGACCGTGCTCAAGTCCTGAAGGCCAGCCAGTGCAAATGGCCTGTGGCCAGGGATGGAGGCCCCCAGGTCTGGGGAGACTGGAGGGCCAGACCAGGACAGGCCTTACCGGGCACGCGGCAACTTGCATCATGGCATCCAGCCCACCCTCGGGGGCGTCCAGGTTTCCAGAAATCAGCTGCTTGCCAACCTCTGTCTGAAACTGGCTGGAGTTGTCAGTGAGCTTCAGCACGTGGCGGAAGGTAAATGGGGGCTGGCATTCCTTCTCCTTGTTGGGGCACGGATTCCTCAGCTTCTCAGGGTGTGTGTTGACGAAGGGGAGCACCGTCTTGTCCACAAAGGACCCGAAGCCTGGAGGGGCAGTGGGATGAGGGGGGTGGGGGCCGAGGCAATAGGCAGCTAGTAAGCCTTGGCCTCCCTACCTCGCACCAGGGCAGGAGAGAGCAGGATGGTGGTATGTGTGGGGAGGGTTTGTGCACACGTGCAGTGGTGTACATGTGTGTGCATGGGTGTGTGAGCACCTGTTCCTGGGTCTCAGTGTGTGCACATGCACGCCTGCACATGGAGACAGCAGCTCGGCAGGGGGCAGAGGGCACAGGGACACGCTGCCTTGTCCCTGGCTGGTGTGTGTGTCTGAGACTGCGCTTTGGGAGCGAGCCAGCGCTCGCCAGGCCCGGCAGCTGGGGCCTTGTGGTTTGCTGTGATAACTTCTTCAATAGTATGATTCCTGTGCAGCCTACGTGCTCTTGTGGTCTTTAAGTTTTTAGTAAGTAGCACTGTAGAACTTTTGTCTTTTAAGCATATCAGAGCACAAACAAAAGAAGAAGGAAGAGAGGAAAGGGAGTGAGGTGCTGATGGCGTTGAAGGTGCTGGGTGGGCCGGCGCCCCAGCGAAACCACGTGAGGACGCCCTCATGCCCTCCCCTGGCACATGGGTGCGTGGAGGTGTGTGGACAGCGGGGCTGGCTGGGGTTCTGGGATGGGACCATGAGGGCCACCTCACCAATGCGGCCGGACTCGGTGATTTCGTTGAGTGCCCGGAGCAGGTCGCCTCCCAGCTTCTTGACGTTGATGAGGTCGTCGAGCATGGAGTAGGAGAGGTCCATCAGGTAGTACAAGTCGATGGGGTAGCCCTTGGCCCGCCGGAAGGTCACGTTGAAGGTAGCCGCCTGACCTGCCAGCAGAGACGGGGGGGAGTGAGGCCACGTTGGGGACACGGATGCACCCTCAGGTCTTGAAATGCTTCTCACCTCCCCCCTTTTCCAAGGCCTGCAGTCAAGACACTGTACCTGGGTAGATTCAAATTCCCGAAAAAGAACACACCCTCTCAGATAGAAAACGGGGGTGCTTGTACCAGAGTCCTTGCTCCTTGGTGCTGCTGAAATCCGGTCTACCTGGGTCTGCCCAACAAGCCTGTCCCGTGGCAGGCCACCAAGCAAGTCCACCCTGGCCCAGGAAGGGTCCCCATCTCGTGAGGCCCCATCTCCGTCACATCCCCTGGGGCCTGCTTTTCACCGTCCTAACCACAACCTGGAGTCATCTGATGATTTGCTGATCTGTCCCGACAGGCAGCCTGCATCCCAGCCCCAGGACGGTGCCTGGCACATAGTAGGCGCTCAGCAAACAGGCAACGAGTAGCTGAATGAGCGAGTGCGGGAGGGCTGAGCCAAAGCCCCTCGGCCGGCCCACTCTGCCAGCCTGCAGCACCCGGCTGGGTGCCCCCCATCCTGCCCAGGCCTGTCCACCTTGTTGCCTTGCTCCCACCACCACAGCCACCTTCCTGAAGGGCACTTCTTGGCGTGCTTGCAGGGAGCTGCGTCCCGACCCAGGATCGAGTCAGCTTGGCAACACAGATTTAAATGATCACTCAGGTTCCTGGCTATAGAACTTATCAGAGCCTTTTTTCTGCCAAGAATGCCTGGCCTTCTGAGAGTGGGACAGAGTAGTGTTTTCAGGTGGTTTGTACTCCTTAAAAAGGACACAGAAGGAACCCAGGGCTAAAAGTGAGACCAGGCCCTCGGCCCCAGACGATGGGCGTTGGGGCATCCTCCTTCGGGTGGGGATGAAGGGCCGTGGAGGAGCCAAGGCTTCGTTCTCAAGGTTCCCAGCGGTCCGCGGGCCTCACCCGGCCGGCCCCCGGCCCCAGAGCGCCAGCACGCAGGCAGGCAGGCAGGCTCCCCGCCGGCAGAGGCCAGGCCTACCTGGTCTCAGGGAAAGCGTCACTTTCTGTGGGCACAGCTGCTTCTGAGCCCCGTGTCTGTCCTCGTGGGCCTCGGCGAGGCTCTGCGGCTCCATGATGTCGTCGGCCGCACAGCCCTTGCTCTGCAGCTGCTTCCGGGTGTCGCAGCGAACAGAATCGGGCTCCCCTGGCCCAGTGAAGTTCTGGGGGGTCCGGAGGAGACAGAAAAAAATGTGGGGGGCCACACTGTGGCTGCCACTCAAGACTGACCCTGAGATGGGTTGAGGAGGCTGACCTCTCATTTGCACTCAGGGTTCAAGGCAGATATCCCCGCGGGGCCAGCTGCCAGGAAGACCCCTGTCCCCACACGGCCTCTCCAGGAGGCCCCCCAGGTCATACTGAGCCTGGGAACCGGCGGTTGCCTCCCCACGGCCTCTGGCAGCAGAAACAACTCACGAGTCTGCAGCCAGAGTAACAATCGCCAGGGAGCCCTCAGTGGGCCGGGAGCCCCAGTACTCAGGCCGAAGCACTGGGCCAGAGGGGTGCATGGGGTCCTGGGTCCAGGGTGACCAGGTTGGCCCCATGAAGTCCCCCCAGTGAGGTTTGGAGAGCGAAGAAGCCCCCTCCTGGGAGTCCTGAGGCTGGGCCCCAGGCTCCTGCATCCAGGGGAGGGCACGCCAAGGAGAGCCGCTCAGAAGCGCGCACATCTCTTTGCTTCCTCTCCCAGGAGCAGCCTTGGGAAGAGGCTGGGGGGCGTGGGGTACAGGGCCAGCACCTCCTGACTCGGGCTGGAACCCTACTGATGCGTCAAGTGCTTGAGAAATAAAATTAACAGAACTGGAGGGGAAAAAAACCCTGAAATGTAATCTACACAGATTGTCAAACGAATACAATAAGCTTGAGAAAGGAGGGGAGGGGGCCAGTCCATGCCCTGCACCCTCCGCCACCTGCTGTGGCTGCATGCCAGCCAGAGGAGGGGACACCAGCCCTGTCCCCTCCAAGGGTGCTCACCTGGTGACTCTTAAAGCACTTTCTGTTTGTGGCAGGACCGAGAAAATGAGGGAACATGTTGTGCATGCTGAGAGCCAAGCTTCTCATGGAGGGGAGCCAGGAACCCCCTCCGAGAGATGTCTGATTCTGTGGTCAGGCCAGGAAGCTATTCACAGGTCTGGAGTGTGTTCTTATCTCATAGAGGAGGAAAGTGTGAGAGAAGATGTGGTGGCCACACCAACAGGACACAGAGACAGCCTGGGGGGGACTCCTGGGGGGCACCTCTGGAACACTTGAGCATCAAAATGACAAAACAATAGTGAGAAGCTACTGAATAAAATAAAAATCTATGGGTCTATAGAGGAGGGAAGGAGGGACAGATGCCCGCACTCCTCACCCTGGAGACTAGCAGGCATGGAGGGCCCGGAGCAGGGCCCTTCGCATCCCTGCAGTAGCAGCAGATTCCTTCATGGATCAGCAGCAGGTGCCCAAGCCGGTGGGGGTAAGCTCCACCACAGCAGGATGCTTGCTGGCCTCTGCCACAAATGACTACTAATGGCAAAGGGGATTCCATGGCATCCGGGTGGAGGAGGCTGGCAGACGCCACCTCACAGGACAGCGCCAAGGAGCATCACCAGACTAGACACAGTGACGGTGCACCCAGAGCCTGAAAAATGGGCATCCTGGATTCCTCCCAAAGGTCAAGAACGCGAAAGACAAGGAAACCCGGGCAGGGACAGGGGTGGGAGGCTCCATATTCAGGGAGACTGAAGGGAGGAGACATCGGAATGTGGCAGGTGAGCCTGGATCATATCAACCAGGAAAATGCCATCAGAGACTTGATGGGACACTCGGCAACCTGCATGCGGCCTGCAGATGTGAGTGCGGCATGATCCGCGTTCAGGCCGTCTTCCACAAGTGGGATGCTTCTGTAAGGGAGCCTGGTTCTTAAGAACAGCCCTTGAAATATTAAGGATGAGGGCCTTTGTGTCTGCCACCTACTCTCAAGTGGTTGAGAAAAGTAATGTGTGTGCATGTGTATTTCCAAACAGGTCTGCAGGGTCAGGATCTGAGGATGAGGGCCCCCAGGGCAGGGGTCTCTCTGGGAGCTTGGTGGACCTGGGAGGGGCCGCTAGCAGGGACCGAGGAGTCAGCCTGTGCCCTGGTGGGCCTGTGCCTCTCTTTCCAGGAGCTTCGCACATGAGACATGAAAATACCTGAGGCAACAGTGCTTTTCCCATCAGTCCTACACAGAGGACCAGGGCCTGGGGGACACTCACTGCAGGCGGGACTTGCCGCCAGTGGCACACAGTCCATTGAGGTCCAGTGGGGAATGTCCCCACCCCTTATGTGTTCTGAAAGCTGACCTGCCTTTCACTTCCCCATCGGCCTGGGGCTACCCTCCTAACAGCATGTCCTCTGGTCCCTGATCTGGGCACCTGCCATGCCCCAGCACGTGGCCTTGGGCGTGCCCTGAGGCGGCTGTGCCTGTGCATCTGTCTGCTGAGATAGTCCTGTGCCCCCTGGCTGCTCTGGACCCACTGGGAGACTGAGTGGTGGTGCTCGAAACACCAGCAGGTGCACAGGCAAAGGGGCGCAGCGCTGGAGTGGGAAGGCGGGCAGGGTGCACTGGCAGGAGAACCCCAGGGAGGTGGTGCCATCCAGTGTGGCTCTTACCGGCATCTGGCACCAGGCGCAGCCAGGCCCTGACAGGACGCAGTCCCGGCAGGTGTTAGCCTTGTATTTGCTGCACTCCTGGGAGAGGCCTGGGGGAGACGACAGGGCTCAGTGGGCAGTGGGGCAGAGTGGGGCCCCAGGAGGACCAGGAGGGGTGGGAGGGGCGCTCCAAGGGGAGAGGCCTTCATCAGTCCTGCACAGAGGGACGGGGCCTGGGGAGACCCAAGCCTGCTTCTGGAACCTGCTCCCAGTGGCACACAGTGTGTCCCAACCACCCCGGGAACTCAGGCCAGGAGGACGGGAGCAGGACCCCCTTCCCGCTGGGGTGTGACGAGCAAGCACCTACGCAGAACTCACCGGACCTGAAGCAGAGCAGAGCCGCCAGGGTGAGCCACAGGGCACTCGGCCAAGGCATGTCCTGCGGAGGGAAGGGATGCCAGTGGTGAGGGCTCAGACCCCAGACTCTAGGGTGGGCCACCCACTGCGCCCTCTGGGTCAGCCTGGAGAGAGCAGAAGGCCTGTCCCTGGAGGGGTGCTGGCTGCAGGCTGGGACGGGGCGACCACGTGCAGAGCCCACCCGGCCTCCAGGGGTGAGTGGGGGGGACTGTGCCAGGCATACCTGCGTGCACACACCACACATACCATGTCACATATATGGTGCTGCCCCGTCTGAGGGCTGCAGCATCAGGCACCCCAAGTCCCCAGGGAATAGAGCATTGACTGGGAGCAGAGACTCAGTTAGTCCCAGCCTTCTGGCGAGGGCAGAACCAGGACTAGGAGGACACACGAACCTGAGCTCCCGCCAGGTGCCAGAACCAGCGGCCATCTGCTCAGACTCAGGGTGAGCTTGGCTGTGCAGGGTCAACGCCTGCTTTGCCCAAGGCTACCAGCTCTGGGTGACCCTTATGTTGTTTTTCCTGATGCGCATTGCTGTCCTCAGAGATGCGCCTGGGGTAGGGCGTGGACAGGAGCTCAGCACAGTGGCTGCCTCAATGCCACTGGATGTCCTGGCTCCGAGGCAGGGTTATGGAGGCGGGGTGAGAGGTCTTGGCCTTCTGGTGCCGTTTCTGGTCCCAGGCAGAGGCAGTGCCTTCTAAGCCTCCCCCCATGCTGAGATGCTGCTGCCATGCCAGTGCCCCAGTAAGCCCAGGCTGGGCCCAAGCAGTGATGCCCTCCCAGGGTAGCCCCTGCCTGAGAACCAGAACCAGCTGTGGACTTGTCATCTGACACCCGAGAGGCAGTGAACAAGGAAGCCAGCACCCCAGAGGCAACAGGCAGGAGGGGCCAGCATTTCCTCAGAAACACGGTCAGCATGCTTACCCTGAGGATTCCGAATGCCGCCCCTCCCCAGGGTGGACCCTCTGGCAGCGGCCCCACCCTCGGCCTGTTTGAGGTGGGCTGGTCCCTGCCTGGTCCTGGTGGGGGTCAGTGGGGCTCTGGGTTCACCCAGCAGGTGGGTCCCGCCTCGCCTTCCCACTCCCTGCCTCTGCACTGGGGCTCTGAGTGGAGGAGGACCAGCCAGGGGCTCCCACGGAGGGCCTAGTGCTTAGAGGCCTTGCCCACCCCCAGTTCCTGTCTTTCTGGAGGTGATCCTGCTCCCTGGTCCCCACCAAGATTATGAATGGACCCAGAAATGTTGAAACAGGACACTTGTTCCTTCCTGTTCAGATCAAAAGCAGAACTCAGGCCCAACTTGGGCTTCCTAGGTCCCTGAAGCGAGGGGGTGGGTCCGGTTCACTCCAGGCCCCACATCTGTGGAAGCCCCTGTGTCTCCTCATCGTGGGCCCTGGGGCTCAGGCTGACACTGGCTGTGGCCAGCTCTCCATCTGGGCCCCTGAAGTTCTGCAGCCAGGCTGCCTGCCAGCCCTCCACTGACCATGCATGGGCCCCCGCACAAGGTCCTGTGGTCTAGCGACAGCACCCCCACTTCTGAGGCAAAGGCCACTCCAAGCAGTGGGCAGGAGCTCCCTGCTCAGGGGCCCTAACCATGCCCACAGCCCATGGGGTGAGCCATGTATGTGGTCCGTGGGGTGAGGTAACCCCGCAGTTCTGGGGAAGGACCTCCGCCCTCTCCTTGGAAGGAAGATTGGATCTTCCCTAGCCCCCCTGACCTTCAGGGCAGCCAGCAGGTGGACTCCAGTCCTGCAAGGGGAAACCTAGGCCCGCAGTGAGTGGTGGCAGATGTTGGCCTGGTGCTGAGTACACCCGGTACATCCCCTCCCCCAAGAGGGGAGTGGACCTCAGTTACAGCAACATGACCCACAGGCCGTAATGTCCTGAACTTGACCACAGGAAACAGGGAGGTGGGGGAGAGGCTCCCCTCTCCCCAAGCTGCTCCCTCATTGGTCCACCACCATGGATGCCCCACCCCAGCCCCGGGGCAGCAGGGCACCCAGGCAGGGCATCCCTGGGAACTCAGCAGGGGGGTGGGAGGGGCAGGTGGAGGGACAGGGCATGGAGCCTGGCAACCAGCCCTGTTCTTTGCTTCGGGCAAGCAGGGCCAGGGCCAGCCCCCTCCGTGCTGGGCCTTAGGGACTGCGGGGCCTAGTGGGTGTGCCCAGCAGGCCAGACCCATGTCAGAGCCAGGGCCCTACCTGAAACAAGCCTTGCGGTGCCTCACAGATCAAGGACCCCTCTGGGTGCTGTCTTGTAGCCTGGGTCCTGGGATGGCCCTGGGCAGGGTGCAAGCCCGGGTGGAGGTGTACTCGGCTTCAGTCCCTCTGGGGGAGGACAGGCTTGCAGAGGGCTTGTGTGCAGAGGGGCGCTCAGCCCCTGACATGTGGGCATTTGGCTGGACAAGGAGCACTGGCAGGAGAGCTGGAGGGCCCGCGGGAAGCCCTGGGCTGAGCCAGGGGGAGTGGCACAGAGGGAGGGGCAGCAGGTGCACCAGCCAGGCCCTGGAGCCCAGGCCACCCTGCCACCTGAGGCATGGTGCCTGCTCCCCGGATCTAAGGGCAGCCCACACCAAGACTCAAGGCACAAAACCCTGTGTCAAGTGGCTGGTGAAACCCAAGTTCCCACGGGCCTGTGAGGACCTTGCGTCAGAGCCAGCCTTAACCTCGGGCCTGCAATCAAGGGAGGTGCTGGTGCAACCCCAGGAAGTGGCACAGCCCTGGGTCCCCTGAGACCCAGCCTGGGTGCTCTCTGCATCCTGCACAGAATGAGCATAGCTAGTGGGCATCACACCTCAGGAAGAATAAAGCTCTCCACCGGCAGGTCCTGCGATGTGGAAAGAGCATCAGGAGAGAAAGAGAACATAGTCCTTCCAAATCCCACTCATTCACACACAAAAATAAAATCTGTATTTGGTAAAACACTGAAGAAAAAGAGGAAACAGCCAAGAAAGAAAACTGAGCAAGGGCAGAGAAAGGCACAGCTTCTGAAGCGGGTGCCAAAGCAGGTTTCCTGTCGAAGAGGAAGGTTTTGAAAAGGTGCATAGCTTCAGAAGAGGCCCCTCGGGATCCCAGGGATTCCCTGACAGTCAGGCTGGGCGTGGGGGCCTGTCAGGGTCTGAGCATAAACCCAGCCCCGTGCTGGCTTCCAGGGGGCTTCCCCGATCAAGTGGCATGTGGCAGTGAGTATAAAGGACAGCAGAGGCGCTCCCGGGAACTGGGGAGGGAGAGGCGACAGTCCCTACACACCCATCCTGGGGGCAGGAGGGTTGCCACCAGTCATGAAGTAAAAAACAAACTTTTGTCATGCATCTGAAATAGATGTCAGCCTTCTTAAACTGAAAGACAAGGGTATCAAGATGTGGTTGTTTCTGCTTCATACAAACACAGAAAAGAATGGGACAGAAGCTCAATTCTAGTCATGCTGGGGCACAGCACCCTTGGATTCTGGAGACAAAAAGGGCAGATGACTGGGAGGTGCAACCAGGTGCCCTCTGAACCCCCCCCGCCCTCTAACATGGGTTTCCCAAGGTCTCTGTGAGCTATGCTCACCACAGCTGATTTCACTTTGTGAAGCCAGAGCAGAAGTGGTGAGGGCCGGTTTGTCACCAGATGGAACAAATGGGGACCCTCCCTGCCCACCCCCACCCCCACCACACACACACACACACACACACACACACACACATACACACAAATTCATTAGAAGTGCTAAAACCCATTGCTAAATACCTCTTACGTCAAAGAGGAAATCAAAATCATACCCACAGACGCTTTAGGAAAGCAGATGACCCAGACATTCTCTGTTCCGTGTAGGAGTAGCCTCTGCCCCCAGTGGAGACAGGGAGCCGGGCGCCCTAAGCCCTTCTGCTGCAGAAAGAAGGGACACCAGCTGTGCAGGGATGGATTCAGAAGTGAGGAAAGAGCCTGAAAGCCCTGGGGAGGGAGGCAGGGGGCATACAGGTGAGGGCAGACATCCAATCAGAAACATGGGAGCGAAAACTGATAAATACATCAAAACCTGTTTCTTTGGAAATAAGTCATCTAGAAGAGAAAAGAAATGACTATCACCAAGAAGTTTTGGAATGGCAGACTCAAGATAAAGAAAGTGCCATTTAATGGGTTGTAAATCCATTAAGAAGCTTCTGGAGGCAAGTTGGTGTGATCCTGGTCCATACCAGCCTTTGAGGGCCTTGAGCAGGGGTACACAGGTCCAGGGAAGGCAGGCATGCTCACCGCACACACCGAGGCACTCAGCCGACTTGGGAAATACTGGGTCGGTGCCCCTCTTCATGCCATAGGCCATGTGGATTCAGTTTTAGGAAATAAAATGATACAAGAAATAAAGAAATGTGTATCTCTGGGTCAGGAAACCCAATTAAAAAATGGGCAGAGGAGCTGAACAGACACTTCTCCAAAGAAGAAATTCAGATGGCCAACAGCACATGAAAAGATGCTCCACATCACTAATCATCAGAGAAATGCAAATTAAAACCACAGTGAGATATCATCTCACACCAGTAAGGATGGCCACCCTCCAAAAGACAACAACAAATGCTGGCAAGGTTGTGGAGAAAGGGAAACCTTCCTACACTGCTGATGGGAATGTAAATTAGTTCAACCATTGTGGAAAGCAGTATGGAGGTTCCTCAAAAAGCTCAAAATAGAAATACCATTTGACCCAGGAATTCCACTCCTAGGAATTTACCCTAAGAATGCAGCAGCCCAGTTTGAAAAAGACAGATGCACCCCTATGTTTATTGCAGCACTGTTTACAATAGCCAAGAAATGGAAGCAACCTAAGTGCCCATCAGTAGATGAATGGATAAAGAAGATGTGGTACATATACACAATGGAATATTATTCAGCCATAAGAAAACAAATCCTACCATTTGCAACAATATGGATGGAGCTAGAGGGTATTATGCTCAGTGAAATAAACCAGGCAGAGAAAGACAAGTATCAAATGATTTCACTCATCTGTGGAGTATAAGAACAAAGAAAAAACTGAAGGAACAAAACAGCAGCAGACTCACAGAACCCAAGAATGGACTAACAGTTACCAAAGGGAAAGGGCCTGGGGAGGATGGGTGGGAAGGGAGGGATAAGGGGTAAAACAGGGCATTACGATTAGCACACATAATGTAGCAGGGAGGGGGACACGGGGAAAGGCAGTATATACAGAGAAGACAAGTAAAGATTCTATAGCATCTTACTACACTGACGGACAGTGACTGTAATGGGGTATGTGGGGGGGACTTGATAATAGGGGGAGTCTAGTAATCATAATGTTGTTCAAGTAATTGTAATTGTACATTAATGATATCAAAATAAAAATTAAAAAAAGATGAACTCAAAAACAATGAATTTTATACATAAAAAATTGAATAAACAAAAATATTTAATATCTATTTGGTGCATTCGGTGCTGTGAACATGTGAACAACTAACTGTTCAGGGCAACTCAATTTTCACTGTACAAAGTAGAAGTGAATATACCAAAACAGTCCGTGTTTCTGTCTGGGTAGTGGCATTATAAGTATTTCTTCATTGTTCCTGTTTATTTCCAAGCCTTCTACAATAAATATAATAATGGTTTATGAAAATAAAAAAAATTCTCAATTCCATTTTGGTTGATGAATTGCCCTGGAATTTCTTCAGTCTTTCAATGATACCGCCGACATTTCTGAGGCCTGTTACTCCCAGGTGGTGGAAGAGACCGCGGGTCCAGGGCCCTTCCCTAGGGAAACATCTGCTCATCAATCCTCCCCCTGGGGCCACCTCCTGCATGCACAGGGCACTGCTGTCCCGGGGTCTAGAACTCTGACCTCTGCCAGGACCTTGCAGCCCCCACCCCCAGGCTTCCACTGAAATTCCATTATACTGGAAAAACCCACCCCTACAAAAACCAGTCACGGCCACAATCCATACTATTTAGAACCAAATTGGCGGCAGCCCTGCTCCTAGGAGGCTGAGTCTCCATGTCCCCCAATCCCTGGGGAGAATGTGGCCTTGGTATGCTGAGGTCTTGCCTGCCAAGGAGGCTGGCCTCAGCCCCCTCTTAATTCCTCAGCAGTCACGGAGCCCCTCAGACAATGTCAAGCTGCAGCCCAGGGTGCTCTGGAAGCTTCCAGTGCAGCAATACCAGCCCAGCCCATGTGCAACAGAGGTCTCTGCATCTCAGACTGGCCAGGTCTAAGCACCCCAGAAGCCTGACCCCGCCCAACCCTGCCTCGCCTGCCAATAGGAAAGAGGCTAAGATCTGCTCTGTGGAAGGTCTGCACAGCCATGCTGGGGATCATGGGAGACGCGGCCAGTCTTCAGTGGGGGCGTCTGCCAGTGGGCGGTGGTCCCTGTCTGGACTCCAGGTCCCATAGAAACAGGGCTGGGCATTACCCGGGGCAGCCAACCTGCCCACCTGGCTACCCTGCACACACACGGTCTCACTCACTCTGCATCCACTCTGGGGGAGCCTGCTCCCCACTTTTTGGGCTGGCTCAGGAGGGTTAGTCCCATGCTCATGCCACACAACCAGAACTGAAGCTGTGGCTGGAGTCCACACCAGCCTAATCTCAGGGCTGGTGCTCTCGAACCTATGCCTAGATGCTGAGTGACAGCAGATAGGTCATTTCAGCTTCTGGACCTGTTTCCTCCCTGTTAAAGAGAGCCAAGAGTGCTCATGGTACCCAGATATTTGCTCAAACTCTGGTCTAGGTGTCACTGTAAAGGCATTTTTCAGATGAGATTCACATTCAGTGAGTAGACATTGCACGTAGCAGATTGACCTTCATAATGTGGGTGGGCCTCACCCAATCAGTTGACGGCCTTACAAGAAAACTGAGGTCCCTGGAGGAAGAAGGAATCCCACCTGCTCATTAATGGTGGGAGCATCTGGAGACTGCCAGCCCCATTAAGGCCCCTGTTCTGCCAACAGGCTGCCTGCCTACAGAAGGCGCCAGAGAAAAGGGACTGACGGTGCTGCCAGCCTGGGTGGGCACGGAGCAGCTGCACCTCACCTTCTGCCCCAGCTTGGGTCACCCAGCTGTTACAGCTGAATGCAGGGCCAGCAGCCTGCCTTGTGAGAAGCCACTGTAGAGATGTGGCCTGGTGCCAGCGGGGACCCCAGATCACAGGGCTCACAGAGTCAGGCAGACACCCCACTCCAGGTGCTCTGCCCCCCAGCAGCCTGCTTCTGTTCAGTGGGATGTTTTAGCACAAGACTGACACTCCCACTTAGTCAGGTGTGTGCAAAGGAAAACTGGTTAGGATGCCGGGCCCAGCACCTGCTGGGTGTTGACTGGACACCACCAAGAGACGGCTCTGAACCTGGGTCAGGAGCATCCAGATTGGGGGTTCTCAGCAGGCCTGGCCCCAGCCCACTGGTGACGCAGAGTGTCCATGACCCCTTGCGGCCAGCTTCCCCACCTGGGAACTGGAGCACACCCCTGTAAAAGAGCTCAGGCAGGACCATGGACTCACAAAGTGACAACTGGCAGAAAGGTGAAGCCCTCCAGCGCCACCACGGGGTGGGTGCTGACCTGGACAGAGGGCAGACGCCCTGAGACGGCCCTGCACTGCAGAGCATGGCTGCGCCTGAGCTGGACCCAGGGGACCCCTGTGTTCAGGTTCACCTTGCCCGTCTGTCCCCCATAATGCTCCCCAGGAAGTAAGCCTTGAATTCTACGTTTGACTAGAGTCGGGAGTCTAGCTAAGGCATCCAGTGCCCCAGACCGCAGGGGGCAGGCCAGGTGGTGCTCCTTTCACGCCCTCTGGACGGGCACCCCTCCTCTGCTCCCCACCACAGCGGCGGCCTCTGCTGTGGAAAGTTCTGCAAGGCACTGTGGCGTCTTCCCTCCATGACATCTCTGCGTAATAACATAATTTGCCCTCTGGGCCTGCTACCTCTGACAGGGTGCCTGCTGAGGATGACCTCAAGGCAGGGAAATCCACCCAGATTTCAGTTAGGCTGGTGGACAGGTGTCTGGCTGCTCCTCAAACCACCCAGGGATGTCTCGATTTACCCCACCCTCCAGGCAGAGCACCGGGGCCACCCTGTGCCTCCACCCAGCACCTCCGCCAGGTGCTCAGCCAGTCACAAATTGGCCACACGGTGGTGACACACCACAGAGCTGAACCCTAGCCTTGCAGAAACCCTCCGTGGGCCAAACTGAGCTGGCTTAGCCCTCGGTCACCTGTCCAGGTCACCTGGAGATCAGGTGTCCTCAGAGCAAGGCCCTGTGGCCCTGCTCAGAAAGAGGTCCCAGGGTGTGGGCTTGGCCACTGCCATGCCTGAACCTCGGCCTGGGACCCCGCAGGAAAGGGACCCCATGGTTTTTCTGTGAACGCTTCAGGGCCTGAGACTGGGCAGCAGCAGGCTGCAGACACCATGGGGTGCCTTCATCACATATGAGGGGGCAGGGCACTGACTGACCTCCCTGAAGCTTCTCAGCCACTCTTCTCTGCCAGCTCCCCAGGATCTGGCCTCCTCTGTTCCTGCACACACTGTGCTCTCCCCTCCCCTCCCAGCTGCCCCCTCCCACCCAGCCCCAGGTGCCCTCAGAGGAGGGGCACTCTAGGTTCAGCCACTGCCAGAGGGTGCAGGGAGCCAGGCAGGGGCAGCCATGGGGTGTGCATAGAGGAGGGGAATGGTTTGGGCAGCCGTGGAGGTGTGTGCGGAGGAGGGCAGGCAGGGGCAGCCGTGGGGTGTGTGCGGAGGAGGTGAGTGGCTTGGGCAGGAAGAGGAAGACACATCTGGGAACTCCCCAAGGCCCGCTTGCACATCCTTGGTGTGCCCACCCCACACCCACTAGCAGGGAGACTGGCCTGGCTCCCAGCCTCCTCCTGGCTCTGCTGGGCCTCACAGTCCCCGTGTCAGGGGCTCAGCAAGTGTCTGAGGTTGTCAGGAAACCCAGGCCTGGGAGCTGAGACCTTGGGGTGTGCCATGTCCCCCTTCCATATGGGTCCCATCCCCTCCAGTTACAAACACACCTATCACTTAGTGAAGCTCTGCCCCTGCTGCACCTAGCACTCCCCATCACTGGATCTTGGTGAAAGGGAACCTAGAGTGGACGACCTGGCAGGTGACAGGGACCAGGGCCACCAGGGCCCCCTCCAGGGCCACTTGGAGCTACTACCTTTGGGAAAGGCCGCAGCCACGCCCGGGAGGAGCCACAGGGCTGAGCTGTGAGCCTGAGCACAAAGGAGCCCCTGTGCACTCACCCTGCTCGGTGTCCTGGAGACCTTGACAGGGGCGTCCCACTAGGCTGGGCTGGAAGGCCTTCAGCTCCACTCTTTGCCGGGCTGGTGCTGGGCCTGTCTGGGAGGACCCTGGGAGGCGAGCCCTGATGGTGGAGGCACAGTGCTTCCTGTTCCAAGTCAGAACTCAGAGGAAGTAGTAGTTACATGTGGGTGATTACGCTGCCTTGGCCCGTCAACCTCAGTCCCTTTGCCCTGTGCAGGCCCCCAACCAGGCTGTCAGAGCAGCAGCCACAGGAGCAGAAGAGCCACACAGGCACTGCAAGTGGTCACAGTGAGAAGCAGGGGGCAGCTCCTGGGAGGGGAGCTCGCCGTAGGCAGGGGAAGTGGTTGCACCCTGCACGAGGGAGAGCCATGGGGGAGCAGGCAGCACCAGGGGTGACTCCGTGGGACTCTCACCCCACAGAGGGTGCCCAGCCTCGGACTGAGTGCAGAGGGCAGGGGAGAGCGCGCCCATCAGGAGGGCAGACAGAGGCACTGGGATCAAGACAGTGACCATGGAAATAAAAAGTGTGACTCAGACTAAATGGCAGAAGGGCAAAGGGTGAGGGGGCAGCTCAGGGACCAGGAGAAGGAAAGGGCCAAGACAGGTGCAGATGCGTGGGTGCCCCTGCCGGCCTGACCACAGGGGCTCCGGAGAGCTGTGGATGGGGTAGGGGATGCTCACATGGCAGGGAGCTCCAGACCTGAGAGGCTGGGGACAGAAGGTCCCACAGGCAGGGTGGTCTGAGGCTGTCACAGAACAGAGAAGACAGGAAGCAAATACTACTCGACTCTAGTTGTGCTGGGACACAGCACCCTCAGATCCAGGAGACAAAAAGGGCAGAGGGGAGACTGGGAGAGAGGGAGGGAGGGAGGGAGGGAGAGGAGGAGGGGATGGAAGGAGGGGAAGGAGAAGCCAGAGACGCTGACTGATGAGCTTCACCAAGAAACAAAATCAGACACCCCAAAGAGGCCGGACTCAGACACCTGACTCCTCTAAATGCTATTTGAAAGATGCTGTCCAGAAACAAAAAGACAGGTGAATAAATACAAGAGGAATACAAGGGCAGGTAACACCCTGAGCAAAGAAATAAGTAACATTATTAAGCCCAAGTGACCGTTGATTTAAAAACAGTGGTCAGAATATTAACAACCCAAAATAAAAACCCTTAAGGATCAGAACAGAAAGTGGGGAGTGTGCTTCTGTTTCTGATCCTCATCAATGGACACTTATGGGAAGTATTTACTTTTATATGTTATGACAATTTAAAAGTCTCCTTGAGAATATAAATGGGATGTGGACATTTAAAAAAAGAAAATACAATAATTTTTTTTAAGGCAAGGCAAATAGAACAAGAAAGGACTGTAAATTAAAAGCACACAATAAGGTATCAGGAATGATTTCAAATAATTCCAGAGTAATCCAGAGCATCTGTGAATGGGTTATATTCTCCCTCCTCAAATCAACAAATACTTGAATTGAGTTTTAAAAATAAAGACACAGAACAAGTTCCAATCAAATGTTTTCTGTCAAGGGAACTTCCTCTTTATAGAACTCCAGAAAACAATGAAGACGGAAGGATAGATTGAGACCGTCCTCAGGTCACACCCACTGGTAACCCACTCAATGAAGCAATGACTGTCACCAGCGATAACGTCACAGAAACACACACCACTTGTGATACACATGCCTTTTGTGAAGGAGTCTGGGTGAAAATGAAGTACTTTAAAATAGTAAAAATTAAATATAATAAAATAATAAGATAATAACAATTTAAAAAATAATTATTAGTACTATTGAATCCAAGTCAGATCAAGACTTTAGATTGAACTACCAGTTTGTAGGAAACACTGGGGACAGAGGAATGTGTTAAAGGACATGGCAGGGAGGCAGTCAGCAGAATCCAGACTGAAGAAAACCCCACAAACAGCAGACTGCAAGAGAGAGAAAGAAAGAGGAGATAGGGCGTGGGTACCCCACAGACTAAGAGGCCTAAGAGTCACATCAACCAACACAACGCATGTGAACTGTATGACATTAATTTCCAAAAAGCCTGGCAGCTTGAAAAACTAGAAACAAACCTCATCTAGAATGAATAGATACACTGTGACACATTCATGCAATGGGATAATAAGCAGCAATTAAAATATTGAT